AACCCGAAACCTCTATGTCCTAAACCCTCTAAACCCTCTCTAAGGGCTCCAGAAGAGGATCTGCAGGTTCTTCAATTTACAGGTTTATGGCTCGTAAGGGTTCTATCGTGCTGCAAGATGGTCCGTTTGCAAGAGGTTGTCGGCAATGCGCCTAGTAGGAAGGGTTACGGTTTTAGGGTTAGGGTCTAGGGTTCAGGGTTTAAGGGCTTGGATTTCAGGGTGGGTCTCGAGTTTTGGACTCATGGTTCCGGCTGAAAGTACGATAAGTACGAGAACAAGTTACAGTAATCGTAGCGGCATCGGCCATTGTAGAACACCTGCCACACAAGAAGGCATGCCAAAAATGGCAGCATGTGAATAACAAGGCCAATGGCACTGACAACACAAGCACGAGCAATGATACTATATCGACCCTCAACCTTACGTAATCCCTGCAAGCCCTAACCCAGAGCTGGGCATTTGCAAGTAACCCTGACAAATCCGTTCTCGAATGCTTATAACACCGGATGAAAGCAAGCATTGCTTCTGAAGCCATCAGCTGAAAGGATGTAGAGCCCTCAACACAACCCTTGAAACAAACCTAGGACCTAGGAGGCACTGAACATAACAGAGATCCTAATAACAACAACATGGACCCCCAAACTAAAGCCTAAGCCCTTAAATTAAACCCCAAACCCTATAACACCTTATAGAGCCTAAATCCCAACAAAGTAAACCCTAAGGCTCCATGTACCCATATAGTATATACTTAGGCCTTGAAGTACCTATATAGGGACCCCTTTAAGGCCTAAGTATCTACTATAAAGGCACATGGAGCCTTAGGGAAAGTAACGGGGACCCGGGGCCGTCTTCCTTCGGCGTGCGCGGATCTCCCTCACTGTAAGTCTCGCTCTTCTCACTGCGTTCCTGCGAGCGACCGGGTTGGGCTTTCGGAAAAATGGATGCTTTTGGCCGGCTGGGTAGCCATGACTTCTTTTCAGAGAGTTTTGAAGGTTTTCAGTGTTTAGGGTTCAAGGTTTTGTGGTTTAAGTTTCGGGCTTCGGGGTTTATTGAGTTAGCTAGAGGTGTGCACTTCATGGTTCGAGGATTTTGGTTTTGCGGAGGTGCGAAGAGTAAGCCATAGCATCCCCTTACAATACTTCTGGATCTACACAAAAACGTCTGTCTGTTTGTCTGTCTACCTTTACCGACATCATGGTGTCTATCTATCCGTCACTCACTCTCTCTCTCTCTCTATCACTTTCTCTCTCTCTCTCTCTCTCTCTCTCTCTCAATCTACCTGCCTGTCTTTCTAACTATCTACCTATCTTGCGATCTATCTATCTGTTTATCTATCTTGCGATCGATCTATCTATCTACGATCTTGCTATTTATCGTGCTGACTACCTTGCTATCTATCCATCTATCTTGCTCTCTCTCTCTCTCTCTCTCTCTCTCTCTCTCGCTCCCTATCTATCTACCTATCTAACTTGGGCACTGTTTGGGCACATGGAAAGTTGTAAGTGGGGTTTAATTTATATAGGGTCTAGAGAGTAGAACCCAAACCAGAGTTTATGTAACGTTCTCATTTATAAAAGGGTACCCTCTTCTTTCCCATTATTCGGTTTTCGTAGTATGGGGAGCCCACAATCGCAAGGTTGTAAGTAGGATAACACAAAACAGAGTTTAGGGTTTAGGGTTTTTGGGGATTGGGGAGGTCAGGGTTCAGGGAGTTTAGGGTTTAGGGAGTTTGGGGTTTACGGCTCTCAGCTTAGGATTGAGGTTCACCCCAATTCTCGACCTCCCTGACCCTTCGCAGATCCCCTGCACCTGGTCTTGCAAACTGAAGCAGGTTTGCAGGGCCCAGGGCTCATAGGGTTCGGGGCTTAGGGTGACCCCTGGTACCAGAAATCCGGTCCACAAGTTCAGCAGCATAAACCCTGGAACAAACGAGCCCTTAAAGCACGATGTGCCGCAAGCAACTCGGAGTCGCAAAGAATCGCAAACAATAAGCCCAAAAGCCTAGTTATTCTCGAAACCCAACCTAAAATTTGAAATTCTAAACCATAGATAACCTTTCGGCTAAAACTTCCCGCGCATCCGCCAGCCTCCGGTGGAAGCCATCCGCGACCGAAGAGGCCTGATGGAAGTGGAGCATTTTGGTACGGTTTGGGGCCTAGACCTTGCAATGAATGTATCCACCCATGCCTACATGCACGGTTGCATGCACCCCACCAAACATGCATTACGTCGATCTATTCCATGACACGACTTTTCGGGACACCACGTGGCCCAACATTTCCGTACATTGCCTTATCATGCTATGCACTAAAGCATTGTAGATTACATTACAGTAATTACAGCAAACTACCGCGCAATACATTACATCCTACAGTAACTGCAATGCATCGCACCCGGCATCTTATCACAACATCATACATTAGATTTACTGGGAACCCGAAATACAGGGACCTAAATAATTACAGGTTCTTGGGGTATATCATACTATACTTATAATTAGGAACCCCTAAAATAGTATTGGTAATTATTGGGGCCCCTATACTAAGCCCCACAAAACCCCGTATAGTAATCCTTATAGACCCCTTAACAGGAACCCTAAGGAATACTATTGGTAATTATTAAGGCCCCTATCCTAAACCCTAAACCCTACAGATCCCTTGTTGATCCCTTAAAGGAGCCCTTAAGGATCCCTTTAAAGGCCCCTATATTAGTGCATCAGCTGGCCGTGCCTTCCTGTCCAAGAGCATGGCAGGTCTCCTGCATTGGCGCGGACGCAAATCCTTCACTTTCGTCCCCAAGGCCCTAAACCCTGAACCCTAAACCTTAATCCCTAAACCTAAGCCCTAAACCTAAGCCCTAAACCCTAAACCTAAACCCGAAACCTCGAACCCTAATCCGACCCTAAACCCTCATGAAACCCTAACCCCAAATCCTAAACCTAAACCTTAGAACCTAAACCCAAAACCCCAAAACCCCCAAACCCCAAAAGCCAAAACCCTAAACCCTACAACCCCAAGGCTCCAGATCGGCGAAGTCCGGCAGATCGGCTCCCAGGGACGAAGGCTCCATCTCTTGCCATCCCCTGATCCCCCTTGGCGTCGGAGGAGTCGGGGGGGGGGGGGGGGTTTAGGGGTTTAGGGTTTAGGGGGTTTAGGGCTTAGGGGGTTTAGGGGTTTAGGGTTTAGGACTTTTTGGGGCTTAGGGTTCAGGGTTTACAAGAATTGGGTTTAGAGCTTAGGGGTCGGCTTCGTGAGGGTTCAGGGTCGAGGAGGACATCGGGTGGAAGGATCGAGGCTGTCTTAGTCTTGCTTCTTGTAGCTGATTCCTCCCCTGGTCTTGGCATGTTTCTCGCTCTTCTACGCTGGTATTTGGTCTCGGGCCGTAGGTTTAGAGGCTTTTACGGTTATTCATGGGCGTAGGGCTTTGGGATTCGGAGTGTCATTGCCGCAGCCAAACTTGAAGAGATAGCTAGGAGCATGGTACAATCTGACATTAACAGATATGCAAAGCTGTCCCGCAGTGGAGCCGAACGGTGCGAGGTAAGCACATCGGCGTGTACGTCCCAGCTCTTCCAATCTAAATCCGACACCTAAACCAGATCCCTTTTCAGAGACTCATTTACGGCCAAGTCCCGAAAACCATACACCGCGCGAGCAACCTAAAAATCAAACTCTGAAGTGCTACACTCTTAACCCAACCGGCCTTGACCAGTGTCACAAGCCAATTTCGATGCTAGCAGGTCATAATATCCAGGCCTTAATAATTACCTTTACTATTTTGGGGGATCCATATTAAAACAATAGTATGATGGCCCCCAAACCCTGTTCGATTTTTTAAGGTCCCTCTGTCTGTAGTAAGCTTGCAAATGCCAGTCAGGTTTGGCATTGAGGGCTTAGATTTGGGTGTAGGGGCAACAGAGCGACACCTCCTTCCCGACAGATGTAGTTGGTCGAATTCTACACAGGATTCCTAAACGTTTCAATGGTCCGTGGGGGTTTTATGGGGTTTCAAAGTGCTTTCTGGAACTTTCTTAGTTGCGGGGTTGTCTAACCAGTAGTAATGCTCATTACAACCATGCGGCAGACGATTCTTTGTTCCTGCTTGCAGGTTGGAGGGGGCCGTAAGATCTACTGATGCATGTTCGGGGTAATAAGGTGTGCTAGCAGGCGCCGGCTCACCTTATGTATTGTGAAGCGAAACTCATAATTAGGACTATCAGTCCCATGTCTGGGGTAGAGTCATACTCCTGGACTGTACGGCTGTGATCAAGTGGGATGATTGTTTGGAGTTCTAAGCCCTCCCGGTGTGAGCTATACCCCCCTTAGAACCATAATAAAAATAATCGGTTTAATGTTCTCTTGGGCTTTATATAAACGAAAGTTTAAAAAAAATCCTAAGGAGACTGTAGCTAGGGTCCAGGAAGCTTTTCATGCGACGCTGGTCCAGTTGGCAGCAGCTGAATTGCTGAACGAGGTGCTGCTGAGGCCGTTTTCTCGGTTGCGAACAGGACTCTGCAACAAGGGTTCGGGGGTTGACCGATTCAAAACATGTCAGAAATCCCGGCGAACATTCACTTAAATCTTGCAATGACTTCCATTCTACCCCTTAGGCGAAGGACTGGAACTAACAATAACCAAACCGTGTTTTTGCAGGGAAAAAACCCAAACTCGGTGATGCTGTGCACGGCCTCAGCCAGCAGTGTCCTTTTGACACTGTCCAGGTTTCGTAGGGATGTGAAGAGTTCAGGGCTTCGTGTTTAGGGTGTCAAGTCTAGCGTTTAGGGTGTAGGGCTCTGGGTTTAGCACGGTTCGGGGTTCAGGCTGTTGGTGGGACCAGAAGACTTTTTGCTTCATCGCCCCCACTGCACATTTGGGGGAGGGTGAAACACTCTTGTTGGAAGCATCTACGAATCATAAACCCTCTAACAACATATCTCGAAACCCACTAAGGAAACCCTAAAACCAACGCCTTCTATTCCCAAATCCTAAAATCTAAACCCCCTAAACCATGGATGTAGACATCTCCATCTTCGAAGAAGCCTGGCCTTGGATTCGAGGCATGTTCTGTCTCGTAACTTAGGGGCCTTGATAGTTAGAAGAGGGCTTTTAGGGCCCATTTTACTATAAGTGTAATAAGGACTCCCCCCCCAAACAAACAGTATACGCAATTATCCAGGCCCCTAGAGTAGGGTCAGGCTCTGCTCCCGGCCCTAAAGGGGGTTTTAAGGCTCTACAACGGGTCAGAAGGCCAAGCCAGTGGGCTGAAAAGGCTTTAGGCTTTACCCTAAGGCCCCAAAGTAGTTCCTGGTTGGGATTACCTTATAGGATTCTTAATATGAACCCCCAAAAGGAACTACTTTGGGGCCTTAGGGTTTACTCCCTGGTTCTTAGTAGGGAATGGGGGGGTGGATCCCTGCGATAATCCCTTAAGGTCCCGTATAGTAGTCCCCTTAAGGTCCCTTATAGTAGTCCCTTAAGGTCCTTTATAGTAGTCCCTTAGTAGTAGTCCCTTAAGGTCCCTTATAGTAGTCTCTGTAACTCAGCCCCCCATCCCCTACTAAGAACCAGGGGCCAGGGGGGTTAAGGTCCAAGGTGTAGGGTTCATGATTCCACAAGCGCTTCATAGGGCTGCTTGAAGGCTCATGGGGCTTAGTATGTAAAGATATAAGGTAAAAGCCAGAAAGTTGGAATATGATTATCCTAACCCCTCTATGGTATATTATAGTGTATCCTACCATGAAACCATATTCCAACTTTCTGGGGTTCCCTGTAAGTAGGCTGTAGATAGGGGAAACCCCACGTACAACCGTACTTACTGAATCCCCTGAGCCCTTAAATAGGGGCTTTAGGGCTCTGTAGGACTTTTGGGTTCGGGGCTTCTGAAAGGCTTTATTAGGGCTTAGGGTCTCGGGGACTAGTTCTTTCGGGGTTTAGGTTTTAAACGGTTCCAGGTGACCTAGAAATGGTCCCCCCCCTCGCCCCGGGCTACCTTCTGTCCCTAAGGGTCCATGGGCCCAGGATGTACTTTGGCCTTGAAGTTGTCCCTGCATCGGTACTTTTGCGCCAAAGTGTATACTGTTTGGGTACGTGGACAATTGTAGCAGCCCCGTGCGGATTGAGGTTTATCCAAATCCTGAACCTTCGTGGACAGTCCAGCCTAAGATTCGATCAAGCCCTAACCCCCCCTCACTCTTCACCGCCAACAGCCAAGCCTATCACCCTAACCCTGAAACGACAAAAACCTATCCCCTTGTTCTGAGCCCATAACTGCCCAGAACGCTTGTGGCGTTCCAAGATGCTTCCGGTCGAAGCCTCTTCAACCGACTCCATCCGTCTTCGACGAACCTATTTCGGATCTTTAGGTTTCCAGGAGTACATGAGGATTCTTTCAGGGTTCCGGGGTTTAGTGGCTGTCTACCTTGGTTTCTCAGTTTTGTGGTTGTAGGTTTAGGTTCTATTAGTTGAATGCTTTGCAGGCTTCGCAAGTAAGTGGGATGTATGAAGCCGGACAACTCCAGCCAGGGCACAGTAAAGCTCTCGCTCTAATCTACTTCCGGTGGGGGACCACCACGCCCTTGTCGTCGCCAATGACATTGGTTCAGTGCTTCGTGTCTTGAACACTGACATAATGAGAACAGGGCTTCGGAGGTACAGTCTCTGGGGTCCGACCATCATATTAAATGAGACACCGCTGAGACAAACAAAACTCACAGGTGCCCGGTCCAAACCGAAGCTTGATCTCAAAACCTCCAGAGACCCCCTAAAGAGCCCCTCACAGTTTATAGTTTCGCGAGTTGGCAGGTTACGGGTATACTGAATCAATAGCCTCCCTAAACCCTGAACCCCCTTAAAACCCTTTTCCTGAAGTGAGTCTTGATGGGGATGTGGAAACCCAAAAGGAAGTACTGGTGGAGGGGGGGGGGGGCACCTAGAGGACCCGGCGACTCTAAACCTCAAATGCCCGAACTGTACGGTAGCTATTTGCTACTACCTCCGGACTCACCTAAACCAATTGCATTCAGGGGTTTGGGCGTTTTGGGGTTGGGGTTAGGATTTAATAATTTCAGTGTTTCGGGGCTTGGTCGTTACACAGGCAACTAGCAAACTGCAAATAGATAAGTCTCTGACAAACGTCAAGCAACACCAGTTGTTGCTTCATTAAGCCCCAAGGCTGGTTTAAAGTTGAAGGAGCATAACCCTAAACCAAGCCATAAAGCCTAAGCTTGAACTCTAAACCCGAAGCCATAAAACCTAAACTCTAAACTCTACCCAATGGGCTCCATGGTAATTAGTTCCTTTTTGGGATTACCTTTTAGGATTCTAAATATGAGCCACAGAAAGGAACTGCTATGGAGCCTATGGGTAAACACTAGACCCTAAACTCTGCATCCAACTTTGCGTTCCCATTCCTCGCCTCCGTGGCTAGAAGCGTGTGGTGCAGGCCACATGCTGCCTGCGTTTTTTGAAGTTAAGGGGTTTAGGGTTTAAGCTTTAGGGGTTTAGGGTTTAGGGTTCAGGGCTTAGGGTTTAGGGGTAATTAAAGGGTTTAGGGGTTTAGGCTTCAGGGCTTAGGGGTTAGCATTTAGGGGTTTAGGGTTCAGGGCTTAGGAGGGGTTTAGGATTGGGCTTAGGGTCTAGGATTTAGGGGTTTAAAGTTCAGGGCTTGCGGTTTAAGGTTTAGGGCTTAGGGTTCAGGGCCTGGGGTTTAAGGTTTAGGGGTTTAGGGCTGAGGGTTTAGGGTTCAGGGCTTAGGGTTTAAGGTTTATGGTTTGGAGTTGTGAAGTTCTTTCAAAGGAGAAAACTCCCTGCTTCAGGTGCCCTTGAAAAATAAGTAAAATAAATAAAATCAGCCGATTTTAGTAGTAGTAGTAGTAGTAGTAGGAGTAGTAGTAGTAGTAGTAGTAGTAGTAGTAGTAGTAGTAGTAGTAGTAGTAGTAGTAGTAGTAGTAGGACCCTGCTTTTTTCGGGCATCCCTTCCAGGAAACATCAAACCGAGCTGGAGTCTCACGGTTGATGATATAAATCCTGCAGTACCTTGAGGACCCTAGACTATGGGAATTATGGTATATTCCTCATTGTCGGTAATGCGGGATCTAGATCTAGATCATCAACCGAAGGAGCTTGGGATCTAAGGGTTCTATGTTTTGGGCTTTGAGTCATCGGTTCGAGGACGTGCCATATCGGTGTTTCCATGCACACACCCATGAGCCCCAGAGCAACGGAAAATCGGGTGCGGGAAATTGACTTGACTCGTCCAGCTTTCATCAAAGCCTAAGCAACTCCAAACACCCAAGCGTTAGACGCAAGAACTATTCAAGAATGACCCCATGTAAAGCCACATGTTATGCCTTTCGTACTGTAGAAATCCTACATAGGAAGCCATCTTGGAACTACTTGCAAAGCTTGCAAACCCAATATAAAACCTGTGCAGCCGCAACGCCTCCTGAAGCCTGAAGCCCTTCACCCGAAGCCGTAAACCCTCACGACCCTAAACTCAACCCGTCCATGTCGGCGCTTACAGAATCAGTGGACTTCGACTTAGAAAGTGGGGATATAAGTGTCCTAACTAGGGCTATGAAGAGAACTAGCTAGAATGACCGGTACCTTAGTCGTGCACTTACTTTCTAAGTGCCCTGATCCTGTAAGTAGTGCAACCCCATAAAACCCCCCCCACTCCTAAATCATGAACCCTACTTGGAGGTTCGTGGGTAGCTAGAAGTGGGGTGGAAGTCCCTTAATATAATGGGGGTTATAGCTTTATAGATACCCTACTTACGCATAAACCCAATGAAAGCTACTCATGAACGTCCCTAAACCCTCCCCAACTCCCAAAACCTGAACCCTAAATCCTAAACTATCCCTGTAATTAAACTCTACGGCGTCTGTTTTTAAATATACGGATATTTAAATAGGTTAAACAAGTATATTACACTACCTCCGTGAAACATCGCCCGGGCCCGCCTCGAAATAAAATATCCGGAGATTGGCAGATGATTGGTGGGTTTGGGGTTTAGGATTTTGGGGTTTAAGGTTTAAGGGTCTAGAAGCCAAAACCTTTCAGCTTTAGGTTCAAGCCAAACCGAGCCAGCCCTCCAGCCTTGCTCAAGCCTTCCAGCCTTCCTCCAGCCCCAAGCCCCAGCCCTCCAGCTTCCAGCCAGTTTTCAACCTTCCCAGCCCAGCCCCACAGTCCCAGCCTTCCACCAGCCCCAAGCCCCAGCCCTCCAGCCCCCCTCCAGCCCTCCAGCCTTCCAACCTTCCAGTTTTCAAGCCTTCCTTTAGCCCAGCCCTCCAGCCTTCCAGTTTTCCAAACCCACCCTTTTAAATGCCGCGCCCGCAACCAGCCTGGAACGCTGGAAGGCTGGCAGGCTGGAAGGCTGGAGGGCTGGAAGGCTGGAAGGCTGGAAGGCTGGCAGGCTGGAAGGCTGGAGGGCTGGAAGGCTGGAAGGCTGGAAGGCTGGCAGGCTGGAAGGCTGGAGGGCTGGAAGGCTGGAAGGCTGGAAGGCTGGAAGGCTGGAGGGCTGGAAGGCTGGAAGGCTGGAGGGCTGGAAGGCTGGAAGGCTGGAAGGCTGGAAGGCTGGAGGGCTGGAAGGCTGGAAGGCTGGAGGCTGGCAGGCTGGAGGGCTGGGCTGGGGCTGAAGGCTGGAAGGCTGGAGGGCTGGAGGGCTGGAGGAAGGCTGGAAGGCTGGAAGGCTGGAGGAAAGGTAGGAAGGCTGGCTGGAGCCCTCCAGCCCTTGCAGTCTCCAGCTTTCAACCCCTCAAGCCCTAAACCCCTTCCAGCATTCCAGCCTTCAGCTTTTTAAGACTGAAGGCTAGATCACGTCATACTGGGATTTAAATATACGGATTTAAACAAATATTTTATACCAGCTCTGCGGCCAGTTCGGCTGGCCGGGCCCCCATATATTTAAAAACGTCACCGTATAGTCTCTAAACCCTACAGTCCCTAAACTCCAAGACCCAAGAACCTCCGACTATCCCCAATTAATATCTATTTTCTAAACCCTACAATCCCTAAACTCCCAAACCTAAACTCCTCCAAAGCGGAAGCCTTGGAGATCCGTAGCCGCGCGAGGCTTCGGATGATTCCGGGCTCCGAAGGCTCCGTCAGGATTGGTGTGGACCACCTGAGACTGGGCTCTTAGGGTTTAGGGGTTCTGGGCTCTTAGGGTTTAGTGGTTTAGCGTTGAGGGGCTTATAGGGCTAATAGGCTTTATAGGGATCTTAGGGTTTAGGGGTTAAGGGCTTATTATAGGGCTAATAGGCTTTATAGGGCTTATAGGGTTTAGGGATTAGGGCTCTGTGGACCACCTGAGATCTTCATCTGGGCTCTTAGTTTAGGAGTTAAGGGCTCATAGGGTTTCTATATAGGGTCTATAGGGTTTAGGGTTACCTAAATATCACGAGATTACGGTCCTATCATATTCTTGAGGTCTTCATCTGGGCTCTTCTTAAAGGATTTAGTTTTAAGCTACCACAAGGAACCACATTATCTACCATAGGTTCCTATTAGGGTTTAGGGAGTTTGGTTAAGCTATGTCAGCTATGTGGAATTTTCCGAAATAAGGGGATCCAAAAAAAAGTACCGGAAACTCTTAAATAGTAGGATCCTTATTATAAGGGCCCCAAAATAGGGTACCCCGAATTTTCGGAAGCTCCCATATGAGCCCCAAAAGCTCCACTTCCCCCTCTGTGACGCCGAGCCGCTTTTGGGGTGGATCCAAACGTCCCAGCTTCCCGTAGTGAGCCGAGCCCCAGGAAAAGGCCTGCTTGCTTTATCTGGGTTTTCCGTCCAGAGCTAGGAGCTTTTGTTGCCATCAGAAATACTGTCACTAGCTAAGTTGGTGTCCTATGATTTTCGTTATAGTTATGTGGCCAGTCTTCGTTTTACTTTAAGGCTCCAGGTCCGGCGTAGGGTTCCGGATTCGGGGCTCAAGGACCCCACAATAGTATTGGTAATTATTATAAGGCCCCTGTACCCTATACTATGGGAAGTGATGTTGCTGTTGCAGTTGCTGCCGGGCCCGGCAGAGAGGGATGATTTTACGCTGCGGCTGGCAACATGGTGCATCGCGGAGAGCTCCCGGTCTCACAAAGTTTGCGGAGTTGCCTGCTGGGTTGGGGTTCTTAGCCAGCATTGGTATGCTATACACACACACTGTGCTTGTGTTTGAAACAGGGCCAGGGCTGCCACATCAGCAGTTGCAGCTGCGCATGTACGCACGCATGCATCGGAAGGCTGTTCGCTTTTCCGTCGGCACGGGGACAGGTCTATCGGACAGGGTAAAGCAACTGCATAACATGAGATGCGCAGCAATGCAAGAGCACTCGTTGTAATTAGCCTCTCATATGCATATAGGACAAGATTACAAAACCCTTCAATGTAATTAATACAAATCAGCGTCTATTCAAACTGCTACCGCCGGGACCCGGACTCTACACCCAAACCCGGTCTGCATTTTCCCTTCAAACCCTGACAGCACAAGGCCTGCCCACCGAGATCAATAGCCACAGCATGCGTCGTCCTAGCGATCTCTCAAGGTGCAGTGTTCGGTCTCAGGTTCCAAGTTCGCTCTTCGACAATGTACCGAGACTTTGCTGCGCTGCTAGGGTTTAGGGTTTAGGGGTTTAAGGGTTAGGGTTTAGTTGATAGTGTTAAACGACTCCAACGTTTCGCAAGAGTTCCAGCACATGTTCTTTGCGGGGCTCTGGGGATCAAACCATAAACCCTAAACCCTCAATGGCCGAACCCTAAGATGGTGCTCGCCGAGTCTGAAACGACGACAAGCGTGTGAAAGCCTTACAGCCGCACTGGGCAGCAACTGACGAGGGCTCTCCCGCCGTTAACTCCACAACGCCGCTTGACTTAAGCCCTCACCCCTCACTTATATCCGAAAACATAGTATCTAAGTCTTAAACCCAACCCTCAACTCCGTAAACACAATAGCCTTAAACACTAAACACCAAAACCACTACCTAACCCCCCCCCCAAAGTAGGTAAAATAATGGCCCAATACTCATTAACAGGCTATGATTCTACATACTTTGAGGGTCCAGGTAATGCCTGAACCCCTGAAGAGTCGAAGAGCTCCCCCATGAAAAGCCGCTACGAAACACCGTAGAAAGGGGTTAGGGTTTGGGGTTTAGGGTAGAACCCAAGGGTCCTAAGTGCCTCCATGGGGGATACTTGCCCAAACCGAAAATATAGAAACCTTGCGCGTGGATTTCAGAGCTGACCCCGAAACCGGAAACTCTACCAAAAATCCTAGGACTGGCTTGGCTTCAAAATCCGATCCCCAACCCCTAAAACTCCGAAGACCTTTAAAACCCTAGGAAACTCCGTAAGTGATTCCTGAAGCGATCAAAGCACCCCAAGTCCACGACTTATGACTGATTGTTGATAAACTATGGACCCCTTCCGCGAAGGGTCCTAAGTACCTACACAGTAGAAACCTTTAGGGTTCGAGGTTAAGGTTTCATTTTCCAGGGGGCAAGCTGAGAAGGAAAGCCAGACATTTTCCCTTGCTGCTCAGGTTCACGGCTTTGCCCTTCAGATGGTATAAATCCTGCATTATCAGAATAACCCCAGACTATGGGAATTATGGTGTGTTCTTTGTTGTGGATTTTTATCATCAACTGTATGGCCCTGTACTCCTCCGCCCATGTTCCTGTGGCCGTGAATTTATCCTGAGGGCAAACGCAGCGATTGACACTGGTTACCAGCATCTTCCTTTCAGGAGTCAACGTCGGGCACCAGCCTCCTACGGCGCTTTGGCATCTGCCGAGACTCTGCGAGACGTCCACAGCGAAGGACATGTCGGCATTGGATTTTCTCCACGTCAATTCCAAAACACCTTTCTCGCTGGCGAACAAAAGACCCTCAAGTTGAGAACTCTTCAGTGAGTTTTGTCTCCCTAATCTTGAAACCTGTCACCTACTACTATACGTAAAGCCCTCAAGCCCTCTTCCTAAAAGCACCTCGCACACAAGACCCTTCTAAAATCACAAATCCCCCTAAAGCCTGCAGCCTACACCCTAAATGCCCTAAAGAACCCGTTTCTTATGATCTCCTATAGCCCTTAGTCTGCGCGGTCCCGCAAGCCACAGATCGCAGGAGGATACCACGAAGGCCGGGTACCTGGCTCTGGGAAACATGCATTTCTTAGGTCGTATAGGGTTTACAAGGTTTGGGGCTTATGGTCTAGGGGGCACATGGTTTAGGGCTTTCGGGGTTCGAGCTTGCTGGTTCAGGATTAAGGGTTTGGTTATCTAGTTATGTTTATCGGTAAGGCTTGCTGCAAAGGCTTCACACGCCTCAATAATGTGTGTTCATCGATGGCATTTTTTCTCAAAGGTTTGTTCTTGTGCTTCATTTCTAAGGGCTCGGAAATGTTGGCTTTGGTAATTAATTTGGTTAAGAGATTCAGGCCACCTGCGAGAGACCTCTACCTCCAAATAGGGTCAGTCTCGGTCAGCAGACTTATGACTCTCACTCTCACGTACCAAATCCAAGTCTAAACCCTAAACCCCTAAACCCTAAACCCTAAACCCCTAAACCCTAAACCCTAAACCCTAGGCCCTCCGAAACCTAATACCCTCCACCCAACAGTCTGTAGGGTCAAGGTTCGAGTACTTAGAGGATCATGGGACTTAGTAACTTGGGTTATTATTCAGGTAACTACACTTATACTTACTTATAACCCCACTTAGGGTACTTATAACCATATCTACTAACTCCCACGATCCTCTAAGTTGGGGTGGAGTGAATGTTTCGGTAAGAGTACACAGGGTTTACGGTTAGGGGCTCCAAAGTCGGAACCTCGCAGCCGACCACTCCATGACCGTCACGTTCCGTCTGTGCTCTGGAAGTAATGACTACTGCTGCTTCTACTACTACGGAGAAACTGTCTTGGATTTCAGGCTGCGGAGGATTGTATGGCTTCAATGGCTTCTCTCTGCATTCCTAGCATCCTTTGTTCTCAGCTCAACTTTCTACTCGACCGCAACACCCAGTGACTCCAATACCTCTTGATTAAGGAATATACCTTAAATTGTAGTAGGGTCCCTAATATGATTTAAGGTATATTCCGTAATTAAGGGGTATTGGAGTCTCTGGGCAACACGCGTCAGCCATGTTCAGCCAGCTTTTAACACAGAGGCCACACAAGATTCCGGGGCTACGCGTGAAACCCTCAGGAAGTTTGGGGCCAGTCTTGGATTCAGGGTGTATGTAATTAGGCCTTGGCATTTTTTAGGGTTCTCCCGTACATCTGAGCCATACACCCCTATGAAAGACCTTCTGCAAACTGCAAACCTCACAAACCCTGGAAGCAGCGTGTCTCCAAACCCCACGCCTCTTTGGGCACCGCGATGTCCATGGGCTTCTTCGCAGGCAGGCCGCACCTGGATTCTCGGTGCAGAACTGCTTGGAGTTTAGGCTCAGGGTTTAGAGTTACCGCCTTCATGTGGGTTATATCTAAAATAGGGAAGCCCACTCGTAACAACTACGGTTTGGGGTTTAGGGGCCAGGTTGTGGGTTGGTTTCGAGTAACCCCTAAATGAACCCTTCGCAGCCCAACGGCTAACTTCTGGCGGCAGCCAAGACACTGGCCGACGTCATTGGCCCCCCACATAGCAAGATGCCCTCCCTCGCTCCTGGGCTAGTCCGATATCCCAAAGAAACTGGGATTATAAGACCTCTAAGCGGTTAAAGGCCACCTACTCTACTTATAAGTCTTGTTGGACGAGTTGATGTAGGCTTTAGGGCTTTGGAGGTTTAGCACAGCTCTTGTACGCGTTGTTGAAAGTCTTCTTTAGGTTTTGGAGGTCCTCAAGGGTAGGCTTCAGGTCTATGACCCACCATCAGTATCAGTTTAGAGGTTTAGGGTCTAGTATCGGCTGAACAAAAAAGGACGCAAGCACAGGAGGCATTCGAGTTTGGGATTGTTCGTGCGAAGCGGAGGCTTTAGGGTACACAGAACCTCAGGGGCTGAGTACCCTGGCCCAAAAGACCTTTTCAACTGTTTTAGGATTATACAAACCCCCAAAAGGTTAAAGGTTACCTCCTCAGCTAGTAAGGAACATAACTCCAGGACCCAGATTCAGCTCTCCGGCAACAAGGGCCGCAGAGAAGGCCCCTCCGCAGGCGATAGAGAGCACCCTGCCTCCAAAAACGTCTTTTCAGGGTTTGATTTAAGATTAGTAAGTTTAGTTTTTATAAAACAGTTTAGGGTTTAAGGTGTGCAGGATTTGCAGGATTTTAGTTCTAAGGTTCAGGGTTTATAGGGTTCAGGGGTGAGGGTGTAGGGATTTGAGAAAACCTTGCCTCCAAAAGACTCTTTCGCGATCGGCTGCGGCGTTGGCCTGCGCGAGGATGCACCTGCTGTGGGTTGAAAGATGTGCTCGCTTACAATGGTATGGTATCCGACACCTCCGAAACCCCAAACCCTAAACCGAAACTCTCTATAATTATCCTAAACCCTCAACCGAAACTCTATATAATTATCCTAAACCCTAAGCCGAAACTTTATAACTATCCTCAACACTAGGCCGAAACCGCGGTCTATAAGCCCTAGAGGAACCAGGGCCTATCCGAAGCCCCCAAAATTCCGGCAAAAAAAACCCAGACCGACCACAGCCGACCCCGTTGCAATGGAGATACCTTTTAGTAGGGTTTAGGGTTTAGGGGTTTAGGGTTTAGGGGTTCAGGGGTTTAGGGTTTAAGGTTTAGGGTTTAGGGTGCAGCACCGTTACAACACAAACCCCGATAGTGTGACCATTATGGGGAGCATGCAAACCAATACCTTATGGTACCCTAAGAGTCCATGTGCCCAAATAGTAACAGTATACACTTCCTAGAGCGTAGTTAGGGTCTACCCTAAACTACCCTAGTATGCCACGGCCGGCGCATAAACTTCAGGATCTACATCAGGCCTCCCATTCCCAGCTCGTAGGAGGAGGATGAAAAGCCGAGTCCCAGTTGGCCAAACTCCCCCCAACCTCAGTGCTTTCAGGATCAGGGTCCCAGGGTTGAGCGCTAAAGGCACAGGGCCCTCAACTCCAAAGGCGAAAGTGCGGGGCCAATCCCAATTCTGGTACCTCGGAATGCAAGCATGCAAGCAGCCCTGACTGATTGAACACTACGTAGTTGGACCTTCTAGTTGGAGCGTTGCGGTTTAAACTGCCCCTAAACCCGAACAAAGGGCGTATTTTACTAGTATTGTAGATATGGGTGGTTGTCAAAATCATGGCCCCTTCTTGGGTCCCTATTATAATGCGGCACCTATTATTTAGGGTACCCAAAAAGGGGCCATAATTTTGACAACCACCCATATAGTAAGGAACCCCCATGCAACGCTTACTGAACACTTGCCCAGCAGCCCCAGGACCAAACGCAGCCCTCAGAATCCACGGCAAGGCTGTGCACGTCGCCACCAGCGACTTTCTCGATCCTAACCTGACCAAAGAGGCGTTAAATGGGCAGGAGTCTAGAAGATTTGTTTTCAATGATTTTGTAAGAGTGTCCGTCGTATCATTTTTGCGCTTAGAGGGACTATAGTGACTAAGAGCTTTCGTCAGATGATGGGGATATACGCTTTGGGGATTCGAAAGGACTTCGAACAGGACTTGAAAGGGCTTACATAGGTTTTGAAACGACATACATGCATTTGTGTGTGTGTCTCTCTCTCTCTCTCTCTCTCTCTATATATATATACACACACACATCTGTGCGTATCAAAGCGGCTACGAATTCAAAGAAACTAACAACCATGATCATAAGCCGGACGTAACTTCAACAAGGTTCCCTTATTAACAAAGGGGCTTCCACCCCTAGACCCCAAACTTGGCACGAAACCCTACAGTTACAAAAAGTTGAACTCTCCCGATAGGACCTTAGCTCGCCTTGCCCTTCTCCGGCGTGTCGGGGAACGTGACTGGCGTCCTGGGCTACTGTCGGTCTTTACGAACGGGTTAGGTTGTTGGGGATGTAAGATTCCGGGCTTTGGGCTGCAAGGTATAAGTGCGCGCAGTAGGTTAGGTTGATGGCTTCAGAGTTTCGGGGTTTCGTGCTTGTGGAATTGTTGGGGTCGAGTGATGCTGCTGCCGTTACTGCTGCTGGTGCTGCTAGTAGGCCCGGAACCCCTGAACCCTGGAGGAGCTAGCCTCTGGTGCTGATGATACATACATACATACGCTTGTGTGCCCTTCCGTCGGTGCATAACTGAAGACACAAACACACATGCCTCCTCATAAGCATGTTGATGAACACCGGGATTGAACAAGATAATCTGCAATTCTAAGCACAAACACACAAACAAGTTCCAAAGTTGAAGCCATGAACATCCCTAAACCTTTCATCCTAAACGCCCCGAGCCCTAAACCCCAAAGCCCTAGACAATTGCTTCTCCCCTCCCTGAGACAAAATCCAACCCCAAGCCTTGACTGTTAAGCCCTTAAAACTCTAAACCCCAAACCCTAAACCCATAAAGCTGACGTAACTAAACTTAGAACCCTGGCAATCTTTTTAATTTTAGCTGTTTCTTAGGGATTATTATACAAAAATATTTCTAAGTACCCCTCAGGTAACTATAAACCCTCCTAGACATCGGAGCCCAGCGTCGGCTGGCAGACACAGGTGTCGCGGAGGCCGAACTCTTCGATGTGCGAGGCAACCTCGAGGTGCCCAGAGACTCCAATACCCTTAATCATGGAATATACCTTAAATTATAATAGGGTCCCTAATATGATGTAAGGTATATTCCTTAATTAAGGGGTATTGGAGTCTCTGGGTGTATGGATGTTGTGTGATTCTTGTGGGGTGCCGATATGAATTGTTCCCGGGGCCTGGAGAGGACAGCAAAAGTCCGAGGTTCATGGTTAATATAGGAAACTGATTAAGAGTCCTTGGGTCCTTATGAGGGTTCCTTCTATGAATCCTAATATATTGGGGGTCATAGCGCCAGGGTTTCTTAATCAGGGAGTTCCTACGCTAGGATCGTTCAGATGTAGGTTGCGTGTCTGTGTTTGGTTCTGCTGAAGAGGATACCCAAAGGCCCCAGAGTAGTTTCTTTTTGGAGTTCATATTTAGAATTCCATAATTAAGGTAATCCCAAACAAAAAACTATGGGACCTATGGGTAATGATAAGGCTGATAGCGTCTTTCATGCGTCCTAAACCTAAACCCTACCACCCCGAAACCATATTCCCTTAACTCTAAGCCGCGTTAGTTTCAAGATTGTTTGAATGCTGATTAACGAAGATCGGGTCAGGGGGCAGGAGTCCCAGGAGTGCACTGACTCGAAAACGAAGCCCTACACCAAACACCGCAAAACAACTAAACCCTAAAAGCCCAACACTCGATCCCGAGAGTGCCCCATCCTGAAACCATATTTGGGAGTTTCCGATACTAGGGGGTACCTTATGTTGGGGGTCCTTATGATAAGCATCCTACTATTTAGGATACTTCATAAGGGTCCCATTTAAACAGCATTAAGCATGCCAAGCCCCAGGCCTCAACCCTTTGACCCTCAACTGCCTAGGCCCTCAAGACCTAATAACACGAAACCCAAGCCCTTAAAACCCATGAGCCTTATACTACTGTTGATGATATAAATCCTGCTTTATCCATAATAAGGAATATACCGTTATTCCCATAGTTTAGGGTCCTTAGGGTCATGCAGGATTTATATCATCAACCGTAGAAACCCTCAAACCCAGCAGGCCCTCTACCTTTTCTAAACCTTGTAACAGCCTGGACAAAGTTTCTGAACAAATGATAACCCCTAACCTCAAAACAACCTTACAACATAAGCCTATGAGACCTAAGAAGCAGCAGCCCCCCGTCAGCCTGCACCCTATAAAGCCCAATCCCTATACCCTACATAAATCAGACCCTACCTCAAATAACCTACCTGTTGAAGGACTTAGATAAGGAAGTCAGTGGATGGAGCCCGGGCCCTTGCAGGGGTCAGGGAAGCCCCACCAACAACTGCGAGCCCTCAACACACTGATAGGGTTGAGGGTTTAGGATACTTATTGGGAACCCTGCTATAGAACCCTAACCCCAAGGGTCCAAGTACGTGATAATCATATACTCTACAAAACCCTAAGCTACATAACTAATTATTATTCTAAAACCGAGTAACCAAGTATTGTGTCCTTCGGACCCTAGGGGTAATACTGTTGATGATATAAATCCTGCATTACCCAAAACCAGGAAAAGGCTATAATTCCCATAGTTTATGGCCCTTAAGGTCATGCAGGATTTATATCATCCACCGTAGTACCCTAAACCCTAAACCCTAATCCCTAAACCCTAAACCCCATAAAGGGGCCCTTCCCAAGCCTGAATCCGAAAACAGAAGGCCCCCACCTGCTGTTCGGCGAGGCCCAGCTGCCCCCCTTCACTTCGACCCCAGCTGTACCTGAGCTCGTGCTGAGTTGAGGGTTTTGGGTCGGCTGCTAGGGTTTAGGGTTTAGGGCTTAGGGTTTGAGGGCACTTTAAAGCAAAATCCTTAATGACATGGGCGTAGGGTTTAGGGTGGGAATGTGCGGCATTGCGAGGTCTAAGGCTTACTGGGTTCAGGGTTTAGGGCGTTGAAAGCCCTCATTAATTTAAGGTAACCTCCTCAATCACCAGGTCTCGGGTTAAGGGAGGACGGGATCAGGGCTAAGGGCTTTGGGGTTTTCGGTAGAGTTGTTTGGGTTCCTTCTTTAAACCGAAAGTGAGACTTGTCCCCAAGAACAGGAGTGGGTTGGACTACGGTTGGACACTTGAGGGTGGCTCTGTATGTGTCGTGCTTTGGATTTTGGATTTGGGTTCTTGTTTTGAACTAAGAGTGCGGGTTCAGAACAAGCCAAAAGCCGAGTCGCAGCACCCCTGCTTTAGACACTGCCATTGCGTGGTAAGAGCCACAGGAAACGAGTTTGCAACACTCTTCTGAGGCAGATCTCGCTGAAGGGATCGGTATCCTGGTTGCGGCTGGCGCTTGTATTGAAGGAAAATCGTTCAAGAAGGGTTTACGGCTTTGGGTTTGGAGGGTTTAGGTTGAGGGGTTTAGCGTTGCGGACATATGGGTTTGCACGAGATCGAAATGGAAACAGTCCGCTCTAAGCCATCGAACCCATACCCCAAAGCCTTAATTCGAAAAGAACAAAACCCGATCTTAATTGAGCCTGGCTTAAGCCCTAAAGCCCTAAAGTTCCCCACCTCCCCCCCCCCCCGCTACACCCTAAAACAAGCTCGATTATAGATCCCACCCCATAAACTAAATGAATCCTGAAACGATGCTTTGAGACTTTAACCATTCCCAGCGTCCGTGCCAAAGTTCTGCAGCCAAGGGAGGCAGATCCCAGGCCCAGCACCCCTCCCTCCTTAGACTAAGTAGGGTTTAGGGTTCAGGGTTTAGGGGTTTAGGGTTATAGTGGCACCCAAGTACAAGGGCATGAATTCTGGCGTTATAGGGTTTTTTGCGTTATTAAAACAGAAGGATTCAGAGATTCACAAGGGCTGAGATTTTAGCTTGTCTAAAGGGTTGTATGCGGTTTGCTGACATAAGATACCATGATAAAGGCTAGAATACTATGTTTACATACACTATAATTATCCCTGTTAGAGGCTGCTTTTTGTTCTATGGTCTTGCAAACCCCAAACCCTAAACCGCCCCGAAACCCCAAAATCTTCTGGCATAAAGCAGGTTACTCCCCAAAGGTACTACAAGTCCTTGTCTGGGACAGAAACCCAGATTCGTTGCCTCACCGTTTGCCCCTAGCGGGCCTTGCTTAGACGTTTTTTTTTTTTTTTAAGCGCCTCTTCTGCAGCCCGCAGGTATGCTTAGACGTTTAGGGGTTTAGGGTTTTAGGGTCTTATAAAGCTTCATACGGTCCTGGCGTTTTAGGGGTTGTTAGCCGGATCGATTTGAAAGCTTCGGGTTTGTTGTTTAGCCTCAGACTGCCAAGACCTAGTCGCTGCGCACCCTGGCCACAACACGGTTGAGCGTCTGGCTATTTATGAAAGCTTCCGAAATGTTGAAAAGCTTCACGGTAACATACTCAGCTACTAAGAAGAACGGCTTGCTGAAACGCCAAGCCTCCCCATTGCCCCAGCACCAAACACCGCCGGCTGCGTCCAGTGCCAAAGAGAACTGGGCGCCACACGCAATGCCTACGAAACTGACGGAGCCTGGGTTCTTGTTAAGGGATTTAATTCAAGTTACCATAAAAAAGAAACCATATTCTTTACTGTAGATCCCTGGTATGGTAACTTAAGTTCAGTTCCTTAACAAGAATCCAGGAGCAAGGAAGCCGATGAGGCTTCGGAACCATCCTGCAGCTACCCTCCGATGTGGGGAGGTAGGCGTCCTTCCCTCGTGGAGCTCGGGGTGAGGCAAGGGGGCTTTGCACCAAGACCTGGGCAGTGGCCAAAATTAGGGCCCCTTTTCGGGAACCCTGAATATTAGGTGCCGTATTATAATAGGGACCCCAAAAGGGACCTTAATTTTGACAACCACCCACCTCGTCTGCAGCCGTCTTTCCACCAACCTGACTTGGAGATTGGGGACTCTGAGTCCGGTAGGGTTTTGGGGCCAAGGCGGTGTAAGGCTTAGAGTCTAAGGAGTCCGGGGCTTAGGATTTGGGGTTTGGGGCCAGAATCTAGAAGCTATAACTTTGCTAGCAGACCGCTAAAAGGCAGAACCATCCTATAATCTCTTCTTCGACGAGAAAACGTGCTGCTGTGCATTCAGCAGAACCGCAACAGCCCTGATGAGCCTCACAAACCTCGAACCTAGACTAAGAAGGCTCAACCAAAAACATTCCTTCTTGCAAGACACACCCTAAACTCGAAACCCGGGGTCTTAACCCTAAACACTACCTGGACCCTAAGGAACCTACCATTTTTAGGGTTTCCTAATATGATTTCGTTATACAAGTCCTGAAAAAGGTAGGTTACTTGGGTTAAAGTAAACCTTAAATCAAAATCCACTCCTGCCTGGCAGAACTCGTCAAAGCCCCAGGCATACAGTTGCCCCTCCATGTCCAGAGCCAGGCAGTGGGCCTGGTCCACAGTTTTTGTTTGTCTGGAATGGGCTTTAGGGTTTAAGGCTTAGGGGGTTTATGTAATGTTGTTTTTGTTTTGTTCCGTTGTGGCTCGTGTCGTCAAGACGCACTCACGAATTCAACATGCGAATCAGAGCCATGGCCAGTGGCTGACGAGCGAATCGCCCATCTTCAGCCTGTCTCCGAAGAGAACGCTGCGGCCATGCACGACAACGACGTAACATAGGGGCCTGAATAATTAGAATAAGGTTTTGGGGCCCATGGTACTATAATTATAATAAGGAGCCCCCAGAATAGTATAGGTAACTATTGTAAGGCCCCTATAGTAGGGGCTTTAGGGTTTCGGGCACCCAAAAGATCCTAAATAATCTGGGGGAATACTTACCCAAACCAGAGAAAACCCGCTGTAAAACGCCTGCTTGCTTTCTACTGACTGGGTGCTTAGGGCCCCATGGAAGAGTGTGCGTGGGCTGGCGGGTGGCTTGACTGTTTGTTGCTTTTCCAATCGGCGTTTGTAACACTGCATGGTGAAAAGCTGCGGTATGCAGGGACTATAGCAGATGCCCTAAACCCTAAACCCTAAGCCCCAAACCCTAAACCCTTTACCCTTTAAAGCCCGAACCCTAAATCCTCTAATCCCCGAAAGCCTACTGCCCCTGAAACTCGGATCGGGGGGCCTCCCCACATGCGACGTCCTTGATCCGAAGGTCCTTGAAGGACACCACACGGACGGGAGAGCCACTCCACGTCAAGTCACCTCCGGGTTGGGTTTGGTTCCCACTAAATGATAGTGGGACGCAAACTCAACCCTAAACCCGAAACACCTAAACCCGAAACCCCCCAACTGTAAGCCCTGAACCCCGAAACCCCAAAGCCCTAAACCCTGCAAGAATTCCACTTCTGTCATCTTGAGCTCTCCGGCGTACGAAGATATGCCTGCGTAGCTTATTGTGGATCGAGTTGAGTTGGGGAGAAAAGATCGGCTGTCCTATCGTAGCCTTCGGCCTGCCATTGGGAGCCTCTCGCTGTCAATCCATATCTGCATTAGCTCGGGCACACAGGCGAACCATACCGTGCAAGCCTATCGCTTGCATGGTAGCGGAGCCCCGTAAAAAGGGCTCGTTAGATCCGGGGAATTGACTGACTGACGTTCTACCTCAGTCAGAAGACAAGCGATGGCACAAGAGAGTGCCGCGAAGTCACGGGATGGTGCGCCCAGCTGGGATGGTGCCGCGGATAGCTTTCAGAGTTATTGCGAAGCCGCATTACTCTATGAGCAAACAACTCCGTACCACAAGCGTTACCTCGTCGGCCCTAAGCTTCAGAGTGAACTTCAGGGAGCTGCACGAAGATTGATTGTGGGCCAGGCACCAGACTGGATCTCCTATAACGGAGGTGTGCAGGTCTTGTTAGACCATCTTCGTCGCTGCTTGGGAAAACCTCAAGTTCCCGAGTTGACGGAGTTGCTGAGCCGCTACTTCAAGAACTCTCGCAGGAAGCCGGGGGAATGCATGGGTGACTACATTACCAGGAAATGTGAGCTCTACGTTCGAGCGCAACAGTCCATGCATAGGCTTCGACCGCATCATGATTCAGTTCCTGTTCCTACCGGTGATCCTTGGGATTCATGGGGTCGTTCGGGGCGAAGATTGAGCCAGGACTCTAACATGACCTCGGACTGGGGAACAGAAGCTGAGGACAATCAGAGTGCGCAAGCGAGTGAGGCAACCACACCAGCCGCCCCGACAGGGGCGGCGGCGGCAGATCAGAATCAGCCCGGCAACGCAGAACCAGAGTGGCAGTGGGGTGGCTGGCACTCTGGCTGGCAGTCTCGGATTTGGGGATGGCAGGGTTCCTACACCAGGAGTTGGGATTGGCATTCAAGTGCCTATCAAAACCCTAAAACTGGCGTCCTGCCTCAGCTCGTTCCGGAGTTCGTTCAAGCATGGATGTTGCTTCAGGATGCAGGGCTAGATCCTCAGGAAAAGAACACGGTGATGATCGCCACGCAGGGTCAGATGACCTTGCAAAGAGTCGCGCAGGAGCTGAGGAATCAGTTCAGCGATATCGATCTCAAGAAGCGTGATGGCACGAAGCGCCACCAAGGCTTCATGGGCGATCATTACGGTGACGGAGATTCTGAGGACGAGGCCGCTCCTGAAGCTTCCTTCATCGCAGAGGACGAGTTGAACACCGAAGGTTTGGCATTGTGGGCAGAGGCTGAAGAGGAAGTCCAAGGTGCTCTCGCGGTGCTTCATCAAGCAAGGCGCACTCTTCGAGGTTCGCGTGATCGTCAACGTCAGGTGAAGCAGAGTCGGCAGTACTTTAGGTCCGGACCTCCCGCGAATAAGGCCTCAAACAGTGGAACCGAGAAGATTTCATGCTTGAAGTGTGGAAGTGTGGGGCATCGCACTTATCAGTGCACAGCTCCAGCCAAGCCTAAAGAGAATCGAACCGAGATGGCCCCCTTCATTTGCTTTGCGGATGAAGGATGTTCAGAGCTCGCCCTACATGCCCAGCAGAAGATGTCGCCTCGGCCCATCACAACTTCCGAAGCCGTAATGATGGGAAAGGGAGTGGTAGATTGTGGGGCGACAAAATCCTTGGGTTCTGTGCTAGCTCTGGAACGCATCATGGCCTTGAGTAAGAATGGGGTGAGTGAAGTGGATGTGGACAATCGGCCTACGTTCGGATTTGGCAATAGTACGGAGGACCAATGTGTATCCACACTGAATCTTCGGTTGAGCGCCGGAGGTCGTCCAGGCCTTCTTCGCATCCACGCCCTAGATCGGGGCACAGCCCCAGTGCTTGTGAGCGTCGATGCTCTACGATCTCTTAAGGCCATCATTGACTTCTCGGACGATAGCATTGTTCTTCGGGGTATTGATGCAACCAAGGTGATGGTGCTAGAGCGCTCTTCCACAGGTCACCTGTTGCTGCCGCTTACCGGAGACATCCTGGAAGGAGCAGTGTCCACTCACCGCCCCGTACCAGGCCTACGCGAGTATGTTCAACAGCTTGATGGCCATCTCCCTAGTGGTGACGTGTCCGGTTCTGTGAAGGAGTTGGTGCTTGAGGCATCCACCGGACACGGTGATTTTGAGGCTTGTCCCGAGTAGGGACAACACCTTCCCGATCCGAGTCTTGACGGAAAAGGGAAGGACCACGGTGATGTTTCAAGACAGGGTTTACTCACAACTGAATCAGGTTGTGCAGGTATGTTAACGCATTCCACTTGTACAGTTTCGGATGCATTAGGAGAGTGTGCGCAGGCTAATCTTGTTCTCAAGACGGACGTGCAATTGAGTACTGTTGCCGCAGCCGCAAACATCGCAGATCACAGCGGGACCATAAGTTCCGAAGTCACTCTTCCCCGAGATCATGGACCTCAACTTGGAGGATCTTCGCAAGGCCCTTCGCGATCTAGGCGAGGACCCCTCGCCCAGCTGGACGAAAGTCGAGTTGCGCTATCGCCTTCAGGAGCTCACGGGGAAGGACACCAGCATCAACGTGAAGACGCCAGCCAAGGACACATCGCCCATGTTGGGCTTGGTCAAGAAGCTCAATGCTGCGTCCCGGAAGAAACAGGATCTGGTGACATTTTGTCGCGACGAGATCTCCATGGACATGAGCGGCCTCGAGAACAAGACCATTGCCCAACTCCAGATGCTTGCCATGAAACAGATCAGTTCCCACACGGCACCACATCCTACGGATCTCCTGGGTTTCGGGAAACATGTTCGACGCACCTATCTGGATGTGGCCCAGAACGAGAAAGAGTATTGTTCATGGGTCAAGACCACGGCGGAGGAGAACCCTCACAACAGCGATCCTCGTCTTCGTCGCTTTGCCCGATGGCTCCAGCTCCAGGAGGATTGCGAGATCCTTCCCGAGGTAGCGCCCAAGAAGGATTTCACCACTCAGTTCCGCCCGGCGGCTCGCAATTCAAGCACCAAGAAGAGTACCGAAGCCACCAACAGCGCAAGCGCGTCCAGTTCGAGCGAGGCCATGAATCAGCAGATGATGGCGACCATGTTCGAGATGATCAAGGATCTCCGAGGGGAGATTGCAGAGCTCAAGGGCGAGCCCGTTCGCAAGAAAGGTGTCAAACCGGAGGAGAGTGGGACGGAGACGGACGGCTCCTATGCGATGGTGACGGTCCAAAAGTCGGCGCCCAATTCCCTAAAGGCGCCTGTGCCATCAGAGACGAGCTCCCCGTGAGACCGTCTAGTGAGGATAGCGATCATGATCAGCAAGATGCACTTGGGGAGGGGCTGTGTTCAGGATTGAGCGTTTCACGGTTGAGTGCCTCTCAGAGACTTAGCCAACAGCTGTCCGTAGGTAAAGCCCGGGTTCTAGAAGAAGAAGCTGAGAGCGTGGTGCCTAAGTTACTGCAAGGCTTGGTGTCTTTGCAACGCACGGCCCTCCTTGAGGTAGCTTGTAGTCCTGAAAGCAAACTCACTTCCGCAGTTCAGTCGCTCGCGGGTGATCCTGCTGTGGCGAGTCGTTGCTCTTGGTGGAACAGTGGAGACTTGAGTAATGATTCAGGCGTGCGGCACATTCTCGACCGACTGGACATTGAGTGCCCAACACATGTGTGGATCTCTCCTCCCAGCGATGCCTATTCTCCTTTGCAAAACTTGAATCAGCGTAGTACCCAACAACATGATGAGCTTCAGAAGAAGCGCAGTGAAGCCATGAAGATTCTGATAGGCGCTTGTGTTGTGTTTCACGCCTGCATGCAGAGAGGGATCCACGTGACACTTGAGTTACCCGAACGATGCCAAGCTTGGAGAATGCCCGTCTTCCACAGTTTGAAACATAAGTACTCCTTGTTCGAAGCTGTCACCCAGGGTTGTAGAGTTGGTCTTCGTAACAGCCCAAAAGAACCCTTAATGAAGCGCGGTTGGAAGCTGCTGACGACGCATCGTAGATTGTCTGAGATCATGAGTTTACCGTGTGTGTGTCCTAAGTCGTATGGGCACGGGAGATGTGAAGGTTCCGGGTCTTGGCGTAGCGAGCTGTACACCACGGAGTTTGCCCGCAAGGTTGCAAAAGCCATCGTGCAAGAGCACAGCATGAGTACGACGCTTCAGGAGTGTCAAGGACGTAGTCAGTTGTTGCCTCGTTTCGGTGAGGGCTCCTGTTGTGTTTGTAAGGAAGTGACCTTGCCCCAAAGACCCCGAAAGTGTGCGCATTGTCTCCAACAAGTTGGGGAAAGAGATGCTGAATCGGGCTCGGAAGTCCAACTGGACTCTGGAAACTTGGCTCGCCCCAGTGAGGGCGCAATTGAGACGTTGAATTTCGAGGGTGACGAAGGGTCCTTGGGAGATTTCGATTCGGAAGAGGTGTTTCTTCTTCGGGAAGAGATTGAGTCTGTTGAGGAAATTGCCCAAAAGTTGCTAGGTAACGCGGACTTTCGACATGATTCCTGCGAGCAACTGCTCGAAATGATTCCCTACAAGGCCCAGAAGCATCATAGGAGCATGTTAGGATCCCAACCCGCGTCCTACATTGCCCTGGGAGCCTTCTCGCATGGTAACCATTACGGAGTGACCCAACGTACGAAACAAATCCCTCAAACTGTGAAGTATCTTCTGCGGTATATGAACCATTGGAACAAAGGAAGTTTTACGTGTACGTCCCTGGTGATCAATCATAACGCGCAGTGCCCTTTGCACAGGGATGTTCACAACGACCCCGACTACCTTAATCGGATCATAGGTCTGGGCTCTTACACCCAAGGGAAACTGTGGGTTGAGTGTCCAGACCTCTCAGTGCCGCAGAACCTAACTCGCAAGGTGTTGCCCAACGGAGCCGTGGCGAACGGCCAGCTTCACGACATCAGACATCGATTGGTGGCCTTCTCACCGAAGGCGTGGCATGGCCCGGAAGATTGGAAGGGTGAACGTAGTACGCTTACGGGTTATGTGAGTCGAGGGTGGTTCCACTTGTCTTCGGAGGATTTGGTGTTTCTGGAGTCCTTAGGATTTGTGGTTCCTCCACCTAAGCCCCAAGCGTGCGCCTTGTCCCACAAAAGTCCCGAACCTAAGGCTCAGAACCCTAAACAACTTCACAAACAGGAAAGAGAAAGGGTTCAAAAACAATTGTATCTGCTGCATGCGGCTACGGGACATGGCAGTGTGAAATCCTTGGTGGATGTCCTGAAGCGTAGGAACGCTCATCCCGAAATTCTGAAGATGGCCCAAGATTTCAAGTGCTCAGTTTGTGCCGAGAAAGCGAAAGTACAACCTCGTCATCTTTCTTCTCTAGAGGCCCTTCCCCCAAAGTGGCATACGGTGTCCACGGATATAGGACACTGGAAGCATCCCAAGACGGGTGAAGTGGTCCAGTTTATGTTGATTATTGATGAAGGTTCGAGATTCAGGGTTGCTCGGATTCTTAGCAAGGGATCAAAACAACAACCAGGAGCAGCAGCCTGCCTGCAATACTTGCGCGAGGGCTGGGGTTCGTATTTCGGTCTTCCGAGGGCTTTGAGATTGGATCCGGCGGGAGCTTTCAGATCTCAAAGTGTGGTGGACTTTTGTGATCGGGAACACATCCTGCTGGATATTGTTGCAGCGGATGCGCACTGGCAAATTGGCGTGTGCGAACAAGCCATTAAAGGTGTGAAAGAGGTGATGTCGAAGATGTGTGATGATGACGATCAGGCCACTCCAGAGACTCTGTTGGCTACTGCAGTGTCCGTGTTTAATCAGAGGGATCAAGTTCGAGGGTTCTCTCCGGTTCAACATGCCTTTGGTCGAAGTCCTGATATCACGGGTCGTATCGTCACCTCATGCGCTGAAGTTCCTGATGACTTGATTGTGGAGTGTGCAACGGCTGAGTTTGAAAGGTCTGCTCAACTTAGGGTTTCCGCAGAGAAGGCACATGCGGAGTGGCATGCGGCACAACGAATCAGTAGAGCTGTTAACTCCAAGTCTAGACCTCGACACACGTATCAACCGGGTGAGTTGATCTACTTCTGGCGCTCGCAAGAATCTGGACAGGGTCGTAAGAAACCAGGGTCTAAACAGGGTAGGTTTCTGGGTCCTGCTCGTATCTTGGCTGTGGAATCCAAGCGCGATGCTGATGGCAGTTTGTTGCCCAAGAGTGCGGTGTGGTGTATCCGAGGTAGGCAACTTATCAAATGTAGTCCTGAACAGTTGCGGCCCGCTAGTGAACGCGAGGAGTTACTGGAAGCTGTGTCTCGTGAACATGGTCAAGAGCCTACCCCATGGACCTTCACCCGTCTCGCTAGTGAAATAGGAGGTAATCAATTTGAGGACGTCTCCGAGGAAGGCCCCACTGATGCGGAATGGTACCGGGCACAGGATGTTCAGGAAGAGACTCCCCCGCTGAGGTTTCGAGTGCGAAGCAAACGAGCTGAACCAGAACCCACCACGGTTGAGGATGATGAGGATATGGAAGCCGCGCATCCGTCAGCTAGCTCTAGAGGCCCAAGACCTCGTGTTGGTTCCCCAAGTTCCCTCTTTCTGAGTGGTGAGTCTGAGAGTTGGACCTCCCAGGTTCCTGAGTCTGCGTGGTCTGCTGAGTGTGTGTCGTTCTGGGAAGATCAATCGGCTGCGGTTGAGGTTGAGATCGACATGCCAAACACAGCGAGGCAGTGGGAACGCGCCACCGCAAACTTATCCGCGTATTTCACAGGTGCCATGAAAAGACAGGCCGTCGAGGTGTCGGAAAAGCGTCTTAGTCCCCAGGAGTTGGCCCAATTCAAGGAAGCAAAAATGATCGAAGTGAAAAACTTCCTTGCTGCCAAAGCCTTTGAGGTCTTGCCCAAACATTTGCAGCCTAGTAAGGAACAGGCCATAGGAATGAGGTGGGTTCTTACGTGGAAAACGAAGGACTCAGGCGAGGTTAAAGCCAAGGCAAGGGCGGTTCTTTTAGGCTACCAAGACCCCGCCTATGAGCATCGTGCCACTACCGCCCCGGTTATGACTAGACAAACCCGTCAAATGCTGTTGCAAGTTGCTGCGAATCACCGGTGGAATGTCTATAAAGGTGATGTTTCAGGTGCGTTTTTGCAAGGCAGAGAGTATCCTGGGTCCCTGTTTTGCATTCCGTGTGACGAAATATGTGACTGCATGAACATTCCTCGTGGATCAGTGACTAAGCTGAAACGTGCGTGCTACGGGTTGGTGGACGCTCCCCTTGAATGGTACAAAACGGTCTCTGAGTTCCTGGAATCCTTAGGACTGGAAAGACTTTGGTCTGACGCGTGTTCCTGGGTTTGGCGTTCCGAAGGTAGGATTCAGGCTATGGTTTCAGGGCATGTGGATGACTTCTTGTTTTCAGGAAACGAAGATAACCCGAGGTGGAACGAGATTGTCCGGAAGATTAAGGAAAGGTTCCACTGGGGCGATTGGGACTGCAACGAGTTCATTCAATGTGGGGTGAAGGTTTCTAAGACGGAAACGGGGTTCTGTTTGTCTCAGGAGAAGTATGTTGAAGAAATCCCAGAGATCCCCATCAGTAGCACCCGCCGTAAGGACTCGAAGGCTGCCACCACAGGGTGGGAGAAAACGCAGCTGAGGGCACTACTGGGTGCACTTAGCTGGCACGCACAGCAGGTTGCTCCCCACATCAGTGCCGAAGTAGGGATCCTTCTCTCCGAAGTCAATACAAGTACAGTGCAGCATCTCACTCAGGCGAATCAGCTGCTTCAAAGCACTCGGGCGCGCAAGGGGCATCGGATGTTGATTCACGGGTTCGGTCCTACGACGGAGCTAGGTATGTATGCGTGGGTTGATGCCGCTAGTCAAAATCGTCATGACGGAGGTAGCACTCAAGGTGTTTTTATCGGCATAGCCCCCATTGCCTTGTTGAAGGGTGAAGTTTGTCCGATTACTCCAATCTCTTGGCACTCCCATAAAATCGATCGTGTGTGTAGGAGTCCAGGTGCCGCGGAAACCCAAGCGGCCGTCAACGGTGAAGACCAACTAGTGTACGCCAGGTATCAATGGTCCGAGATTCTGTATGGCAATGTGGATACTAAGGATCCCGACACGACTGTGAGACGTACTACCGGATGTGTGATCTCCGATTCCCGCAACGTGTATGACAAACTGCAGACAGAAGTCCTCTCTATCAAAGGTGCCGAAAAGCGCGCGAACCTGGAGCTCTTGGCCCTCAAGGAAGCACAATCGCGAACCAATGTTCACATTCGTTGGGTTCATTCAGAAGCACAACTTGCCAACACGCTTACCAAAGCAAATGGAGGTCGTGAACTTGAACTCTTTTATCGTATGGGACATCAATGGCGAATTGTTGAAGACGATCGAATGCGTTCAGCGCGAAAGCGGAAGGCAGAGGGCATGTCGCCTCTCCAACAGGAGTCAACAGCAGTTCAAACTCCAGAAGAACGAGATTAGCCTGTAGTCACTACCGGCAGGGTGGGATGCAAGAATTCCACTTCTGTCATCTTGAGCTCTCCGGCGTACGAAGATATGCCTGCGTAGCTTATTGTGGATCGAGTTGAGTTGGGGAGAAAAGATCGGCTGTCCTATCGTAGCCTTCGGCCTGCCATTGGGAGCCTCTCGCTGTCAATCCATATCTGCATTAGCTCGGGCACACAGGCGAACCATACCGTGCAAGCCTATCGCTTGCAAACCCTAAACCCCCAAGCCCTAAGCCCCTACACCCCTAAACCCCCCCTAAACCCTAAACCCCTAAACTCTAAGGCTTAGAACTCTAAGCCCTCGACCCCGAAACCCTAAACCGGGACCTGAGCCCCTGCTTTGGGAGCTCGACGTACTCGCACCAATGCCCAGCTGGCCCAGCTCGTTGAAGCCGAAGGTGAAGACGGTGCCGCGCCAGACGTCCTCAGGGTGTAGGGGATCGGGTTTAGGGCTTAGGGCTTGGGGGTTTCGGGTTTCGGGCTTAAGGGTCGAGGGTTTACGGGCTTAGAGGTTTAGGGTTTCGGAGTTTAGGGTTTAGTGTCTACTATCTGGGTACATGGTCCTCAGGGCTTGCCTTACCCTTAGTACTGGTATGGGGACCCTGTAGCGATAACCCTAGCACGTCAAAACAAAATCCGGACGTCGAGACATGGCTGCAACTACGTTCTCAAATATTCATTGAATAGAAATGATTCCGAATTCTGCTGTATAATGTAGTTTGGGGCCTTGGACTTACGGTTCTGGACCTAACCTTCTGAACGCCTGTAAACCACTAGAACCTACAACCCCAAACGCCACCTCGACCCGCTAGCAGCCCAACAACCGGTATTATGTATACAACCGCAAGAATCTTGCGAAACCTGCATCAAACCATGTATGCCGCAAAAATGACCTGATGCTTGTACTACAGGGGCGTGAATAGTAGACTAGGGGTTGCGGGGTTGACGTTATAATATACTATATAGTTATAATCAGGAACCCCCCCAAAAAGCCTGGGTAATTATCAAGGCCCCTATATATGGAAACCTACTATGGATTCCGCATAGACCCCTTTAAAGGAACCCTATTAAATTTAAGTATTACGGCCCCTATATTCCGTCCTGCCGATCTCCAGCAATGCCGCTGTTGCTGTCCCGCTGTGCGTCCCGCTCTTTCGCCTGCACCTCTGCAGCACTTGGAGTTCTCCGCGTGTTTCATAGACATATCAACTGATCCGTAAACCCTAACCACTAACCCCCTGACCCGACTTGTCAAGAGATATTACCCAGACCTTCCAAAATCCCTTAATTAAGGAATATACCTTAAATCATATTAAGGATCCTACTCTAGTTTAAGGGATATTCCTTAATCAAGGGATTTCCTAAACCCTAAACCCTAAACTCCAGGTCTGGGTATATTCACTGAGAGCTGCGGAGGCCTTGGGGTTCAGCAATGATGGGGGGGTTCCCTGCTTGAGGCTAAGAGTTCAGGGTTTTGAGTTCGGAAGTATTGGTCTGAGTCAATGTGCCAGCTAGGGTTTAGGGCTTAGGGTTTACCCTTGCTTTAGGGTTTAGGGTTTAGGGGCCCAAATCCTAATCAACCAAACCACTGGACGGGTTACTTGGAAGTCCACGGCAACTGTAAGATGGTGTACAAATAATTACCTCAACAGCGGCTGCAAAGTAATTATATAAGCGAAACAAGAACTGCACTACATAACGCAAACCCTTAACCTTACTTTCAACGTATAACCCTGCTTGCAAGTACCCTTGCACCTCCAAGTAGGCTTCAGGGTGCACGTAATATAGGGGCCTTAATAACTAGAATAGGGTTTGGGGGTATATTAGATTGTAGTTGTAATAGGGAAACTGCGCGAAATTATTCAGGCCCCTATAGTAATCCTGAATCCTTGACCCAGAAGCACAACAAAGACCCTAAACTATGAACCCACCCACGAGCCCGCTTGCAGCCTTGCAGCCCTAGATCCTGCAAAACCAGAAAACGTTTAAACCCCCAATGCCATATCCTCAGAACCCTCATGGCTCATAAGCCCTAAACCCAGCAGTCCTAACCCCTTGATACCAAAACTACCCTGCGGTAGACCCTGAAAAAGCCCATTCGTAAGGAGCCTGAAACCTCTGCTAGTGGTGCCTGGCAGTCCTGGTACTAACTAAACTGTGTTACGACATGACTACCCCAAAGCCTATCCCATCTTAAGAGTGCCCCACGGCCTGCAAGAAAGAGAGCTGCAGAGACGGAGGAAAGCCCTCGTCGCCGAAGTCCAAGATATCATGCCGATGCCACCAACTCCTTAGGAGGAAGGCTTCACGGTGGTTTACTTAAAGGATCATGGGACTTAGTAACCAGGGTTATACTTAAGGTAGCTAGACTTATAATTGCTTATAATCCCACATAGGGTACTTATAACCTTGCTTACTAAGTCCCGTGATCCTCCAAGTAAACCCTAAACCCTAAACCCTATAGATCCCTTTAAGGAACCCTGTAGATCCCTTTAAGGAGCCCTTAAGCTCACGGGTTCAGGATTCAGGGATTTAGATAGGGCTCACAGTAGGACGTATCTAGGGCTCTGTATCTGAACACAGGACTTTTGGGGAGTCGAACCCAAGGACCCCTAAAGACTCGGAACCGTCAAACCCAAAGGGTCCTTTGTGCTGTTATGGGGGATACTTCCCTAAGTCATAATAGTAATTCCTAATATGGAACCCCTACATTCTACTATATCGGTACATTGGACCCTTTGGGAAAGGGGCTATCACCATCGCAAAAACCTGTTGAACTCTTCTTATTAAACACTCGAAACTTGTACCGCCCTGAGGAAACCCTGGTTCGTGCTTCCTCTGTAAGTCCGCTTGAAATGCTATGAACCCTGAACACGGTACCCCGAAAACCCTGCCGGGGCCACACAAAATCACAAACCCAAGACCCTAAACCTTCTTACGGGCACCCAGAAGCCCAAACCCTGAAGCTCTGGACACTGGACACTAAACAGAGCCCAAACCCTAGACCCGCATTGCTTTGCAAAGCCTCTCCAAGCGCTTGCCGAGCTTAGCCTCACTCCGGTGCAAAGCTTCGAGACAGCCCTTCTCCTCGGCTGGAGCAGTGGTGGACAAAAACCACTCAACCGCGAACAGATGAAGCCCCATACCTTAAACCATAAAACCGCAAACCCTGGTTTAGCAGGGGTTAAAACTTTCGAGGTCAGGGTTTAATAGATGGGCTATATGAGAATAGGGTGTTAGGGCCCAGTAGAGTCTACATGTAATAAGGACCCCCCAAAACAGCATGGGTAATTATTAAGGCCCCTAGACTAGGGTGTCAGGCCACACTGGCATGCTGAGGCTCCGAATCCAGCAGTTGCCGATGTTCCTCCGCAAGGCCCGAAGGACCCCAGGAAAATGGGCTGTCATCTCCATAGAACAGGAGGAGTGCCCGGAAATAGTCGCCAAACCTGGTCTCTTCGTTGTGTGCTTTCTACGTTTCTACAGGGCTGCGTAGAGTATTTGTGTGATCATTCGCAGGAGGTGGGGGGTTAAAGGCTTGATGCTGGGGTAGGTTAGGGGAGAAACGGGCGAAGCTGTAGACTTTCGTAATTATTCGTTTTACCGTCATCACTGTGCCAGCATTTGAGGGCATAATCTCTGCAAGCTCCATTCTGATGATCAACAATCTCTGTTATCACCATGTCAGTGACCATGTCCATCATCAGCATCGGCGCAACGACCGTTGACATCATCAGTCATCACAGTTTGGGGTTTAAGCGTCACAAGGATTTACGGTCCAATAACAGCTGATTTGGGGTCCAAGGCGTGAGGTTCAGGGTCTAGAGTCCATCGTCTGAAACCCTTGCACAGCTAGGCGGAAACACAACTACCCTCATGTAGGGGGTCTGGATGGCTAGTCACTCGTCATAACATCCCCTATACATCGAGAGGACAAAAGTTCTGACCAACTAGACTTTTCTTGTCTTAAGTCGTGCTGTGGAATAGCGGAGTACCGAAAAGCGCGATTTACGCGGCCTGGCCAGCGGAGTCTTTTATACCCCGTTTTGAAATTATACTATGTACTTGCGTGTTCCGGAGGAGCAGCGATGTTTGATAGGATTCTATGGGGGAATGGGGCCTGTGTTCGACGAACGAAGGAGTAGGTCAAACTTTCGTCCTACTGCAGTAGTCAATCCAAATGTGATTCTGGAAAAACCAACCCAAAACAATATAACATTCCCTTGTTTTGCGACCGTCGGCGTGGAATTTCCGGAATTTCACTACCGAAAACCATGTTCAACGTATTCCGGCCCCGGTATTGCTTCCAAGAAGCTCCCTAGGATCCCTACTGGTAACCTGAACTTTCCATGTGCCCAATAGTATATACTTTGGCCTGCAACCTAAATAGGGACACACACGAACAAACACATGCAACACACACCCTAGACAAAACCCAACAAACCCTAAACCCAAAACATCCCTAAACCCCCCAGAGACTCCAATATCCCTTAATTTAGGAATATTCCTTAAATCATGTTAGGGATCCTCTTATAATTTAAGGAATATTCCTTAGTTAACGGATATTGGAGTCTCTGGGCCCCCCATCGCCTACCCCAACAAAACGAGAGTGGCCGAGGGGCTTTGAGATGCTCAGGAGATCTTTCCTGCCATAGGAGATGAGCCCGAGCTTCCAGAGCAAGAAGAGCGCGAAGGGATGGCCGTGGCTTCCAGGCTTCCTTGAAGGGTTGGGTTTCAGGGTACGGGGTATAGGGTGTAGGGCTTTAGGGTAGTTGGTATGGGGTGCAGGGCATAGGGTGTAGGGTATACGGTAGAGCATGTAGGGTGTAGGCTGTAGGGTGTAGGGTTTCGGTTAGGGGAGTAGGGGGGATTTCAGGGTTTGATTTAAGTTTAAGGACCCCAAGAGGCTTACGTATTTAGAAGGCCTTAGCGCAAGATCCTTTCTGTTTCCAGTCGGGGAGTCTGTGTGGACTTCATGTTGCGGGTGGACAGCCCCTTTATTTTACTAAGCCCTAAAACCCCTGAACGCCTAAACCATAAACCTGCGAACCCTGAACTCCTATTTAAAACCCCAAAACCCTAAAACCCTAAACCCTAAGCCCCTAAGCCCCTAAACCCCTAAACCCTAAACCCCTAAACCCTAAACCCCTAAAACCCCTAAACCCTAAACCCCTAAACCCCTAAACTCCGAAACCGCCGCCCATGCCTCGGATCTCCCCACGCATCGTCCAGGGCGGCCAACGACTGTAGGTAGTGCCTTTCTTGTACACGTAGGGTTTAGGGTTTCGGGTTTAGGGTTTAGGATTACCCAAGGCCCCAAAGTAGTTCCTTTTTGGGGGTCATATATAGAATCCTAAAAGGTAATCCCAAAAAGGAACTACTTTGGGGCCTAGGAGTATTCACTACTGTTTACAGGGTGTTTTGAAGGTTCTTATAAGCTTTCATAGGTTTGGTAGAGGGGTTCTATGGAGCTTCACAGGCGTGTATATATATATATATATATATATATATATATATACACACATACAAATATAATGTGCATACACGGTATGGCGGGATTTTTGGTAAGGTGGTTATAGAGCTCTGGGGCTTTGTAGGGGTTCCCAGGTTCCACTGGACCAAGGACTTAAGTTTGGAGATGGTTTAGGGTTTAGGGTTCAGGGTTTAGGGTACTAGTCATCATGGTATGGATTTGGGAGTATATGAGTATGTGGTACTTTGACCCTGAGGGTGATCAGGTTTATCGAGTTGTCCTGTTTCTGAGGGCAACCCAGAGAAACGACCCATCATCATACCCTGAACCCTATACCCTAAAGCCCTACATGTGGAAGACTGGAGGCAGGAGTGACGAGGAAGAGGCTGCAAACAGGGAGGAGGGCAGAAAGGATAACCAACACATAAAACAAGGCAAGCACCGTGCAGTGTTGCTGCGTCCTTAGCTTGAATGTCCAAGCGATTCAAAGTTCCTGCAGAGCTTAGGGATTTTGGGGTTTACGGGTTTAGGGTTACGTTGTTTGTACATATATATATATATATATGTAACCCTAAACCCAAACCCCAGGATTGGGGGATTGGGAGTTTGCAGTGGCGGGCTGAAGGTTCGAATCTGTGAGAGAGTTCCATGGCACCTCTACTGCTCGGATGAGGGTTCGAGTCTGGGACCAACGACCTGAGACGTGCTGCGCAGCTCAGGTTTTAGTCGGAGGCTGACTCTAAACCCTAAACCCAAAACCCTAAACCCGCCTTCAACAAAGTCCGAGGTGCAAGTAGCAGGCATCTACATCGCCCTCCTGCTCGCAGATGTAACCCCGCAGTGCAAAGAGGGCCACGAAGAGCTCCGAAGGGCCTTGCTAAAAGGCTCATGGGACTTAGTAGTGGTTCCTTAAAGGGGACTATAAGGGTTACTATAAGGGCTTATATAAGGGATTTAGGGACCTTAAAGGGGACTGCTTCAAGGCTCATGGGACTTACTAAGTAAGGTTATAAGTAGGTTATAATTAGGACTTAGGGGACTTATAACCCCAATTATAACCTAATTACGTACTAAGTCCCATGATCCTCTAAGTATCACGGATGGGTCGACACAAGGGCGGATACATTGGTGCGACTGGTTCTGTTTACCACCGAATCATGAGCAGCACGTTAACGGTCAGGATCCGTGGGCACATCAGCACCGCAACTATCATGAACATCTGGAACATCACTGTGACAATGAGCACGGTCTTTATCATCATCACCATCATTACAATGATGACTGCCAATTCAAAATCACGGTTGCCGTCGTCATCATCATGTGTTGCTATCAGCATTGTTGTTATTGTGAGTATTAACAGTCTGGTAATTTTCCTTCAGTCGGAATGTTCATCATAGCCCTGATCATGATCATCATCGTCGTCATCATCACCTGCACTACCATCACCAGCCATAAACGGCATCATCGTCATCATCACCACTAGCGATATCTTCTTCTTCACCATCATCATCAACATCATTCTCAATATCATCATGACCATCATCGTCATCATTTGCTTTCATGGTCATCATCATCATCATCCTCATCACCGTTATCGCCACTACCACCATCGTCATCATCCTTCCGCACCATCAGCCTTATCGCATTCACTGCCAGCCCCATTGAATTGGGCGTCATCAGTCCCAGCGCGACACCCACCAAAAATCCTGAAGCACAACCAGAAGTCCCAAAAGGCCAAATGGGGGTTTCCGAAATTTATAGGGGTACCTTATTTTGGGGGTCCTTATAATAAGGATCCTACTGTTTAGGATACTATATTAGGGTCCCCTATTCTCGGGAACTCCCAAATCTGTCGATGCCAAGACACAGTTTTCACCAAGCTCTCCCAACAGGTTTGCCACGGTTTGGAGGGCCCTTGCGGCCACTGTGGTGACCTTCTTGTAGCTGGACGCCTGTGGTGCATGTTTAGGAGAAATAACATACCCCATCCCAAAGGCGTCCCAAAGCCATGATCCCAATGCTAGTCACTGACAAGGGTTCTGCTGCTGCGACTGCGACTACGACTTCGACGACGACGACTACTACTACATACTGATACTACTACTACTACTACTACTACTACTACTACCACTACTACTACTACTACCACTACCACTACTACTACTACTACTACTACTACTACTACTACTACTACTACTACTAGTACTACTACTACTACTACTACTACTACTACTACTACTACTACTACTACTACTACTACTACAATTCCTATACCTACTGCTATTGCTATTGCCATTGCCATTGGTATCACTATTACTGACACTGATACTAATACTGATACTTGTTGAATTACTATTGCTATTGCTATTGCCAGTGCTACTACTACGACTGCTACGACTACTACGACTACTACGACGACGACGACTACTACTACTACTACTACTGCTACTGCTACTGCTACTGCTACTGCTACTGCTACTGCTACTGCCACTGCTACTGCCACTGCTACTGCTACTGCTACCACCAGCACCACCAGCACCACCGGCGCCGCCAGCACCAGCACCAGCACCAGCACCAGCACCAGCACCAGCACCAGCACCAGCACCACCACTACGACCATTACGACTGCTACTGCGAGTACTACTGCGACTGCGACAGCCTGCAGGAACCAGGGGTTGCAACAAAGATCGACTTCCGCCAGAAATCCTAAGCACCAAACTCTCCGGATACTTGGAAAATCATGGGACGTAGTAACAAGGGTTCCTTCAAGGGATCCTTATAGGGCTCCTTAAAGGGATCCTAAGGAATCTAAAGAGTTCTATGAAGGGGGATCATGGGACTTAGTAGGTAAAAATATAAGTCCCCTAAGTGGGGTTATAGGTAGTTGATGGTACAATAACCTCAAATATAACCATAGTTACTAAGTCGCATGATCCTCTAAGTAGTCCCTAAACTTTAAAGCTCTATAGATCCCATAATAAGGAACCCTGTAGATCCCTTTTAAAGAACCCTATGGATCCCTTTAAGGAACCCTATAGATCCTCTAAGTACTTGCTCTCCATCGAGTTCCTGAAGGAATCCTCCAGAAACCCACGGCAGAACCCTCAACTAATCGGGTCCTGAATAGTTAGAGTGGGGCTGGTGCATATTGTACTGTAATTAGGAGCCCAAAGGACTAGTACAGGGCTTAGGGTTTAGTGGTTTAGGGTTTAGGCTTTTGGGGGGCTTAGGGTTTAGGGGTTTAGGGCTTTGGGTTTAGGGTTTGAGGTTTAGGACTATTGGAGTTTCCCTAAACCCTATACTTCAGAGTACGCCTGGGAATCCTCCACGGAGTTCACGGCAGTCTCTGGGCCCTCTCTCCTCGGCTCTTCTTGCGGATTTGGTAGTTCTGGGCCTATATGAGGGTTCTATCACGGTTTTGCTTCGTTCTGTAAGAATTCTGTATTCAGTGCGCGATAGTAGTCATGTAGGGGAGGAAGTCGACGCACACGGATATTAAGTATTTGGACCGTTAGTGTAAGGAACGTTTAGAACTCAAGGCTTCGGGGCTTGGGTGTAGGGCGCAATTGTAATTTCAAGACTATAAAATAGTATAAACCCCCATACATCTGTATAACCCTCGAAAGGGCCCTAAGTACCCAAACGGAGGATACCTACCCAAGCCAAATTAGTAATTCCCACTATGGAAACCCTGCTTCTACTATACAGATACTTAGTACGACCCTTTGAGGTCACAAAACTTGCCGAGAGGGTCCAGTACACTACTGTTATGGAAAAACTTCCCCAAAACCATTGTTCGGATGGTCTTTCGGGGCATAATGCCATAATGGTAGTGCATATGAGCCCTCTTGGTTCGTTCCCTGAGCCCTACACCCCTTAAAAACCTTGTCATAGATCCCTTATAGGTACCCTTATAGATCCCTTTGAGGGACCCTAAACCCTAAACCCTGAACCCTAAACCCTAGACCCTTTTGGTTGAGTGAACCAAGGATCTGGGAGGCACAGTTGTCCACGTCGTCCTGTCCAGTGTCCACCACACTGCAATGGAACTTCCTGGGATGCTCCGCAACCAGCCTCGGATACTGGGACTTTGGGACCGTAGGGTTGTAGGGCTTCGCAAGTATACCGGTAAAAAACGGCTTCAGTTCTGCCTATGAAAGAAAGGAACCATAGCTACCACTGCCCGAACTTAGGACAGTCTTGCGGGGAGAGATGCCTCAAGCCACTGTCCACCTTGCGGTGTACGGTTAACGGATGTAAACCTCAAACCTCTTAACCCCCGTAGTTTCAGAACAAAAAATCTGCAGTTCCTCAACCCTAGAAGGAATCAGCTTACGGCTCTGCCTGCCCAATTCCCACTTCGAAACTGCCGAGACCCTGTCCCATAGTAGTTCTTTTTTGGGGCTCATATTTAGAATCCTATAAGGTAATCCCAAGAAGGAACTACTATGGGGCCCATGGATAATGAACGCCTCTTTTCACTGCAGCTTGCGGCCACGGTAAAACCTATGTCAGCCCAATGCCTCTGCGGCTGCAGAGTTTAGGGTGTAGGATTTAAGGCGTGAGGTTTAGGGTTTAAGGTTTAGGGTTTCTCTTAGAGTTTGGGGGGGGGGTGTAGGATTTCAGGATTGGGGTTTGGGGTTTCAGGTTTGGGGATTGGGGACTCTTGCTCCGAGCTACAGCACCTGCGCGCATCGCAGCAAGGCTTTGCACCGGATGACCTTCTGCTTTAGCAGGAGGTGGTCCTGCGACGATCTGTCCGGGCTCGTGGGTAACTAGGCTTTTAGCCTTTGAGGTTTGAGATTTAGGGTTTATTGATATTGCGAAGTAGGATAGTTTGGGAGCTCCATATTCGGGCAACATAGGTCTCATGATCTTTTCTTGAGGAACCTTTTCGGGGTCTACAGAACTTTCGCAGTTTCCCAATGATTTTAATGCATATGCCGTCTTAGCTGATGAGGGTTTGGTGTGGGTCTTGCTCAAGTGGTGATGGTCACTCAGTAAGGCTATAGCAATCTACGACCCTACGACCCTTGGAAATTCGGACTACATGTATAAGCGACTTACTGAGCGAGAGTAGACCTGGACGTTTCAAGCAGCGGTAGCTGGTGGGTTCAGGGTGTGACCAACCTTTGGCTGACCACCTTACATAAGGGTTCAGGATTTAGGATTGGCCCGTGTTGGTCCTGTACACCAGAAGGGCGCTGCAGCGCGACGCTCCCTGTTGCAAAGCTTCGGGTCAACATGTCCTGCCAGGGACCAGATCCCACCGTGGGGTCCGTGACGTTCGGCATCTGGCCTCATTTCTGAAGTGCCAACGGAAAAGCAAGCCTAAACTATTCGCTGTTTTTTGCATGGTTCCGACCCGTCATCGTTACATTTCAAACAAAACATGACAACATGTGCAATATCACCCTGAGTTTATACCTTAGCAAGCATGTGATTTCTGGGTTAAAATCCAGGCGGCTGATGGGAACGCAAACGCCACGGTGGAAGAGTCCCCGGTGCCAGCGTCCAGACAGTGATAGGTCTTTGTTCACGAGATCTGCTGCAAGTTTGGCAGAAGCGCTGCTGCCACCCGCCCCGAACTGCTGCAGACTTGGATCCAGAACTTCCCCAAGAGAATCCTTCAGGTCTAACGACGTCCTCGTGTGCGTTAACTGCTTAGGGCTGCAGCGCGGAAACCTGGCGCCGGCATTTTCTCCAGATGGGACTCGCATCGGAAGTGCGCTCAATCCACTGTTGTGCGCCCGAAGTCTCAACAGGAATTCCTTTGGCAGCGATATGTGCAACTGGCTCGCTACGGACCTCACCAGAGCAGTCACAGATTGCCTCGAGACATTGAACAAGCGCTGACCCAAGTTGTTCAGGAGGGTGGCCAGCGAAGGCCCATCCAACTCTTGCTTGTCTGTCTGCGTATACCTTCCCCGTCCACTGGAAAAAATAAGTTAGACTTTCAGAATAATACCCTCAAAGAACGTTCCAGTCATAGTTTTGATGTATACATAGACATATATATATATATATATATATATATACATACATACATACATACATACATACATACACTTGTGGGGCGCACATAACTACCAAGTGCCTGCTTTAACGACTCTTTGAGACTATATTTTACAGAAGTCCATCAAAAACAGCCCAAAGGCCCTCCGTTGAAGAAGTGAAGCCCGTATAAGCCCCTACCAGATCCTGGTAACACCACCGTGACGCCCGTAATTAAGACTACGATCTAACACCCCACAAATGCATGTTGTGGCAGAACCGGCGAACTTCGAATAGTACCCCACAAAAACTACGTGGTATATGGTTGCGATACCTGACCGGGTTTAGGCACCCACAAAGATGTAAAATGTTACCAACTTAACTGTGACAACCGGCTTTCATAGCATTTCGTTTAGGGTACCATAAAACTGTAAAATGTCACCAAAAGTACGTTGTGGACAAGGAAAACCCCCAAACCCTGTAAGCCCCATTATAAGACCATAGGTGTCCATTCCCATGCTGCTTCAATAGCATGCTGCTTCCGTTAAGCGTGCTGCTTCAGCATGCCGGGCCTGGCTTCTTTATTCAAGAGATAAAGGGATCCGGGACACATCCATGCCACGATTTCATGTTTTTTGCAGGGGCTCTCAGGGAAAGATATAGTTCAATACCCAGAAATCAAAGACAGACAACGACAGACTCAGTCTCAGATTCAATTCAAGTGTGCAGCTTCGGCATCAGTCGGTTTGTGCTGATGGCTCGCATTGCCATGCTGAGTTAGACTCGATGAGAAGACACGGGATCGAGTTGTGACTTCAGGGTCTTTGCTGTCGCCTCGGCAGAGATCTATGTCACAAGCGTCTTACTTTTGCCACTGCTGGGCGACAGAAGCCGTGCACGGTAGTAGAGATGTGAAGAGGCGCCGAAAGGCATAAAATGTCGATGTCGATGGCATGCTTCCAGAAGGTGAGTGGGGAGAAGAAGAAAAAGATTCCGTACAATTCCTGCAATTCCTGCATATTCCCTGCCGGCAGGGACTCGGAATAGAAAGCCCCTCAGTGTTTGAACCCAACGACCCCAAGCCGAAACAGCATGCAGAAGCGAAGCAGAAGGCTTTGAGACAGCATGGAAATGGCCGGCTATGATATAAACCCTACAAGCCCTGTAATTCTAGAAACCCAAAACCCTAAAACCCGAAACTCTCAACGCCCCCACAACATGTAGGCATGAAAATAGCCGAGCCCAAAAGCCTTATATAGTATGGTCTTTGGGCCCAAAAGCCTTAACATAAGAGTCCTTAGATCCCTGGGGAAAGGTACGTCGTGGACAAGGAAGAGGTCCAGGAAGGATCTTTCGAGTCTCTGCCCCTCTCGGCATGCCAGACGCGGAGTTCATGCGCCTAGGTTTAGGGTTTAGGGTTTATAGGAGTTCAGGGTTTAGGGGTTTAGGGTTTGGGGTTTAGGGTTTTTTAGTGCTTTGAGGTTTAGGGCTTCCTTTAAAGGAACTATAAGTGGGCTCCTAGAAGGCATCTGAAAGGTCCTATGTTTAGGGGGCTTGGGGTTTCGTAGTTATAGGTGGGGTTGCAAGTCCCTCAATAGTTCCCCTTGTCTTGAATCGACTTTCAACAACACCTCCAAGTATCCCTCGTCATCAGTTTATGGTGTAGCTTTAAGGGCAAGGGTATGGATTAGGTACGGCCATACAGTAAGAATCTATGATAAGGCTGCTATTAAGGTCCTACTATATCGATATTACGAATATTATTCAACTATTACTGAGTGGGGGCCGTACCCAAGGTATGGACTATTCAGGCTTTGCCAGGAAACCCTAAAACAAAAAAAAAGCAAAAAGACTGCCTCTTGCGGTCCCAAACGCCGCTGCCGCCAGCCGGACCCAGGAAACCACATGCAGAAGGCCCAGTCTTAAAGCTGCCAGGCGCCTCTTGTGGGTGTCTTTATTTTTTCAAAACTTTTAATGGGTACCTTAAACCCCAAACCCCTAAATCCCTAACCCTAAACCCTCTGCCGAAATCCTGAATCTAAAAAAGGTCCATATGCCCTGGACTCTCGACCATACATGCAGTAAACCACGTAGTGATAGGTTCACTGCGCGGGGGCTGTATGTAGAGTTGTAAGTACAAGCTCTTAGGTACCCTACATGTGGATTACGACTGTCACTGCGTCCTGGGCTACAAACCGACCCGTTGCGAAACCTACCTAAACCCTAAAGCCAAACCCTCACGTCCCTAACCACAAACCTCTTTTGCAGGAACCCTAAACCCTAAGCTAGAAACCCCTAAACCCTAAACCCTACAACCCTAAAGCCCTGAACCATGAATTCCCTAAAAACAGAAACCCGCAAACCCTAAACCCTAAAACCCTAAAGCCCTAAACCCTGAACCCTAAAACAGAAACCCCGAAACCCCAAACCCATGAATCCTGAACCCCTATTCCCTAAAACCCTAGAGCCCTAAACCCTAAACCCTACAACTCACTAAACCCTAAACCCTGAACCCTAAACCCACTAAGCCCTAAACCCTGAATTCCCTAAACCACTGAACCACACAACCTCAGCAAACCGTCTCCCCAAGGCGCTCGGTAGAACTTTGATGGCCGAGCCCAGCCGAGCCCTGGGCTATCGAAGCTTCAGGATGAAGCTGCAGGGCGCAGATCATCAGCTGCACCTTTTATGGGTTTAGGGCTGAAGGGTTTGGGGGTTTGGGGGTTTAGGGCTGAAGGGTTTGGGGGTTTAGGAGTTTAGGGTTTAGGGGTTAGGGGTTTAGGGTTTAGGGGGTTTAGGGTTGCTAGCAGGTCATCAGCTGCACCTTTCGGGGGTTTAGGGCTTAAGGGTTTGGGGTTCCTGTAAGGTACCCCCTCTCCATAAACCTCAAAATACAATTCGGAACCCTAGACCCTACACTCTAAACCCTGAACCCTAAACCCTACACTCTAAACCCTGAACTCTAAACCCTAAACCCTAAATTCTAAACTCTAAACCCTAAACTCCAAACCCTAAAAAGTAGAACTCGGAAACCTTCGAGCCTCATCCTCGAGCTCCGGGTTTCGGAGGCGGAAGGTGCGCTTCTCCTTGCCTTTCTCCTCTGCTGGCTCCTGAGGTTAGGTTGGTTGGTTTAGGGTTTAGAGCTTAAGGGCTCCTTAAAGGGATCTATAGGGTTCCTTAAAGGGATCTACAGGGTTCCTTAAAGGGATCTATAGGGTTTAGGGTTTAGGGTTTACTTAGAGGATCGTGGGAGTTAGTAAATATGGTTATAAGTACCCTAAGTGGGGTTATAAGTAAGTATAAGTGTAGCTACCTGAACTATAACCCAAGTTACTAAGTCCCATGATCCTCTAAGTAGGGTTTAGGGTTCAGGTTTCGCTTTAGATGTTAAAGGTAGGCTTTTTAGATGTTAAGGGTTTAGAGTTGAGGGTTTAGGGTTTGGGGTTCAGGGTTTGGGGAAACCACTTATCGAAACCTAACAAAGCCCACAATAAACCCGACTACACACATCACCTTAAGCCCCACACTGAGCACCTGCCGAAATCTCTACAGACTTGCAGAACTGCGCTACATCTGGAAGGAAGCCATGATAAAATCCCCAGTGCGCCTGCGGCACCAAGGGCGGGATTGGAGGGATGGGAGCCTCCGGCGCGATCGCGGTGGCGAGGTCGGCCTCTTGCACGAAGCACTTTGGGGTTGGGTTGCACCCGGAATCAAAAACCTGCGACCCACTCCCTGAACCCTAACCCACTGAAGCCCAACACACCAAAAACCTAGATGACAACTCTAAAGCCCCGAGACGTGTCTAGGGACTGGGGTTGTGACTGAAGGACTTTGCTTCAGCTGCCGGCCCTGACTCGTTCCTGTTGAGGGGTGGAAACGCCTCTTCCTCCTTCTCTCTCGCTCCCTCTTTCTCTCGCTCTCTCACTCACTCTCCGTCTCTTTTTCACTCCTACTACTTCTACTTCTACTTCTACTTCTACTTCTACTTCTACTTCTACTTCTACTTCTACTTCTACTTCCACTTCCACTTCCACTTCCACTTCCACTTCCACTTCCACTTCCACTTCCACTTCCACTTCCACTTCCACTTCCACTTCCACTTCCACTTCCACTTCCACTTCCACTTCCACTACTACTACTACTACTACTACTACTACTACTACTACTACTACTACTACTACTACTACTACTACTACTACTACTACTACTACTACTACTACTACTGCTGTGACCGCGACCTAATCCGATGATGTATACTAGGGAATATATTCCCTACTTTCAGCTCTGTGGGTACATCTCTACTACTACGACGACTACTAGTACCTTAAGCCCTGAACCCGGAATGCTAAACCACTATCAAAGGGGAAAGGAGGGACCCTTAATGGGGACCCCTACCCTATAATGGGCTATATAATGGGTACAAAATATCTATATTAAGGGTATATACCCAGGGGTCCTTATTAAAGGTCCCTCCTTTTACCCTTGGACACTAGTCTAAGAGCTCCCACCTCCGCAGGCGCGGCTGGCGCTGGTGCGGTGGCTAAGAGCTGGGCCTCTTGTGCGATGACCTAGCCGCCGGAGAGCAGTTCCCTCTGAAGGCTCCTCCACGGGTTCCTCTAAACCTCTTCAAGGATTCTTTTGAGGGCTCTCTGAGGATTTGAGGTTTGGGGTAGTCGCACGGACTCACACAAGGACTTGTGCGCAAAGGCAGTCGCGATATTTTGAGCATCCTAACCAGGCTTATATATGCGTGGTTTCAGGCTTGTTGCGGGGTTAGGGGTTGGGGGATTAAAAGCTTTGAAGTGGATGCTTGAGGCTTGATATCCTACATACCTAAGTCGGGGATATTTACTTACACCATCTTACACCAATAAGTCATAATCGTAGTTCTTAGCATAGTAACTCTGCTTCGTGCGATGTGAGTATTTCGGACCTAAACCCCCCAACCCTCATTCCTCAAGCTCGAAGTCCCCGACTGCATAGACTCTAGCTTAGACCCTCGCACCCTAGGGATCTAAGGACTCATATATTAAGGCTTTTGGGCCCAAAGACCATTCTATATAAGGCTTTTGGGCTATTTTGGTCCCTGGGGGCAAGACTCAATGACTCAAACACCCAAGTCCTAAAACCTACAACAATCAACAAGAAGCAACAACGCACAACAAAAACACTCGGAAGGTACAAGGCACACTTAGGCCCTCAAACCTACACCCTGAGCCGTTACCCTCAAGAGCCCTAATCCCGAAACCTAAAACCCCAGGGATCTAGGGACTCTTTTTTTTAAGGCTTTTGGGCCCAAAGACCATACTATGTAAGGCTTTTGGGGCTATTTTTCATCCCTAGGGAAACGCCCGAAAAGAACCTCCCAGCTCCCGGCCTCCCCGTTCAAAGACTCAAGGCTCGCAGCATTGTCCATGGCCCAGAAGCGCTGTAGCTGGAAGCCATCCGGCTCCTTCACTTGGAGGTTCATGGGACTTAGTAAGTATAAGGTTACATGTACCCTAAGTGGGGATACAAGTAGTTATAAGTACAGTTACCGTTCCCATGGCCTTTTCTGTACGGTTTCAGGTTTAGGATTTACAGCTTAAAGACTCCTCATCCCACACAAGGGCATCAGAATCTCAATGCATGTGGCTTCACAAAGTGTTCAAAGTTTTCGTGTTGCAACCCGAAGAAGGATTATTCGGATTTCTACGGGGCTTCCTCGGCTTTAAGAAGAGAGTTTTGGATTGAGGCTTGGCTTGCGGTATTGGAGTCTTCTGGCTCTTCCTACCCAGTACGCCGAAAATGCTTCACGGTTGTGGTAGGGGTTTCCTAAAGGCTTGCGGAAGACGTCGAAACAACTGCTCTTGTAAGGACCACTCCTTGTGACATTTCCTGGTTAAGAAGTCGCCCATTCAGAGTTTCGGAGTTTGTGGGCTACGAAGGCCAGTAACTCAATGAAAGAATTCAACTCAGGGATATCCAAGGGCGTCTAATAGTACTCATGAGCAGGTACCTCTATAGGACCATATGCGGAATCCCCAGACCTTCCAAAATCCCTTAATTAAGGAACATACCTTAAATCATATTAAGGATCCTACTATAATTTAAGGGATATTCCTTAATTCAGGGATTTTGGAAGATCTGGGTCGACAAGTCGACAAGTCTCCCAAACTGCAATCGGGCCAAGGCTGAGAACCCTCGAAGCAGCCAGTTCTGCTCTTAACTGACTTACAACCTACACCCTAAACCCCTAAAACCGAAACCCAAAATGCACCCCACACTACACCCTAAACCCAACATGCACCCTACACTACACCCTAAACCCAAAATGCACCCTACACTACACCCTAAACCCCTAAAGCCGAAACCCAAAATGCACATTTCCTGCACTGGAGTGTAAAGGCTTGCAGCTAACGGCCCAGACCTTCGGGCCTCGGGTCTTGCAAGCACATGGTTACCCAAAGGCCCCAAAGTAGTTCCTTTTTGGGGTTGTATATAGAATCCTATAAGGTAATCCCAAAAAGGAACTTCTTTGGGGCCTATGGTTAGTTCTCTAAATTCCGGTCCTTGTTTACGTCACCAAAATGGGTCCGCTTACTACCAAAATAGGTGCGCTTTACTACGAAACTAGGTCCGTCTTACTACCAAAATAGGTCCGTTTTACTATAGGTAGAACAAGGAACCCCTAAAACAATAACACTTAGCAATTTAGGTCCGCTTCACTATATATAGATATAGCAACGAACCCCCAAAGCAATAACGCTTTGCAATATTCCGGACCTCTATATCGACCTTTCACAAACCCTCTGCGAGGCCTCTGGGGCTGTGCGCTTCCACTTGCCCCTGAAGTAGTGACCTGGGTGTTGAGGACTATCTAGGTTTGGATTTTCAAAGAGATTGACATAGGAGCTGAGCACTTAAGCCGGAAAGTTGGAAAGTGCGTTGCGGCGCGCTTGGGCCTGAAACCCGATCTTCCAACTTTCCGTTCTGGGCAGTCCGGCACCCCGCATGGTCTCCAAAAGGGGGAAGCCTCTTCGTTTGATCTTCCAACTTTATTTTGCTTGGCAGGCACTGCACTTCTTGCCTGGCAGCACCCTGCAACCCCGCATCCCGGAAAGGGCAAGCCCGCATCGCCGGATCCGCCGTTCGACTGGGTCGGTCGTGTTTCTGCCAGTACTGGGGGAAAGCACTTTGACGGTGCGTCCTGGAGACGCCAGTACTTGGCGGAAAGCGAAAACTTACTTTCACGGCGCGTCCTGGAGACGCCAGTATTTGGCGGAAAACAATTCCACCGTGCCCTCGATTGTTTCTGAATCCCAGCTTTCTTTCTTTGGGGCAAAGCTTTCCGCCGTTGGATTGGATCTGTTCAATTTCTGTTTTACTCGGTGGAAAAAACTTTGATGGTGCGACTTGGAGACGCCAGTACTTGGGGGAAAGCGATTATTCCAGCCAGTACTCGGGTTAAAAAAATCACGGTGTCCTGGAGACGCCAGTAGTTGGGGGAAAGCGATTCCGCCGTGCTGTCGATTGTATGATATTGTATGTGAATACCGGCAGTACTTGGGCCCATGGCGGGCGTAGTTCTGAATGCGGCGGTACGGTGGGTCCTGTAGTTCCGGTACTTGGGGAAAGTAATCCCGCCGCGCCCTGGACTGTTTCTGATCCTGCCAGTAGTTGGGGTGGAGCATTTTGGCCGTGGTTCTGCATGTGGCAGCAGTCGGAGGAAGGCATGTTGCGCATGCCCGTGAATCCCGCCGAAACCAAAGTTGGAAGACATGAAACTCGGAAGAAATGAAACATAGACGGCCAAACTTGAAGTTGGAAGATGTTTTACGCCATGCGCCAATCTCGGTAAACCATCTTCCAACTTTCCCGCTTTGACTGTACGAGTTTGGTTTGCAGGTCTTGTCTTGCCATGCGAAGTAGAGTTCCAGGCTTCACACGGGAGTTTCCGAAAACAGGGGACCCAAATGTAGTACCCTAAGTAATAGGATCCTCATGATAAGGACCCCGAAACAAGGTACCCCTAATTTTCGGAAACTCCCAAACCCTAAACCCTATAACCCTATAGATCCCTTATAGGAGCCCTTAAAGGGTCCCTTTAAAGGAACCCTATTATATTAAGCTATAACTCCCCTATAATATAGGAGCTCGGATTTCTGAGGTCGTCTTGTGCTCGAGATGTTAAACTCCCAAACCCCCACACCCGAACGCTGCATCCATTGGAAGCATGAGACTTGAAGCCAGACCTTCCAAAATCCCTTAATTAAGGAATATCCCTTAAATTATAGTAGGATCCTTAATATGATTTAAGGTATATTCCTTAATTAAGGGATTTTGGAAGGTCTGGGAAGCTTGAACTACGATGCCACCTTGTGAAGCTTAAGATTTGAGCTTGAACTACGCTGCATCCTCTGGAAGCATAACTTGAAGCTTGAACTACGCTGCATCCTTTGGAAGCATAACTTGAACCTTGTACTACGCTGCATCCTTTAGAAGCTTAAGACTTGACTTGAAGCTTGAACTTAGTGCGTGCCCCAATGAGAACAGATGCACATGAATGCCAATGGCATTTAGGCGGGCTTTCGAGCTTTCGGGTGATAGGTCTGGGTCTGTCTGAATCAAGGCACCAGATTGTTCACAGGGAGGCCCAGACCCTCTTCCAAGTCCGTTACACCAGACGATCATACAGGGTCCCTAAACTTCAATCCTTCAGCTTAACCTTAGGCCTTAAGAGACGGACTGGTGATCAGGTTAACGATTCAGGAGGCTTCCTCTTTCAGGATTCCTGTATGGGCTAGGATTCTGTAAGCGGGCTCTGAGGGTGTGGGGCTTTAGGTTCGGGGTTTCGGGCTCAGGGCTTTGGGGCTTTGAAAGCTTCGGCTTCCTGCTGCAGAGTCAAGTTTTCGCCCTGTGGGGGTTCTGCACATGCTCACTTCCGCAGACGAAACAGCTCCAACTTAGACTGTACCCATATACACTTTCCGGTATCAAGACAGAAAGACAAACAGACTGATTACACAGCACGGCCCGCATGAAATCCCGTAAGAGTACAAAGAGGAGCCCTCCACTTTGGAAGACCAAATCAATGCATAATTCAAGTCGTGCTTGTATAAGGGTTCTCCGAGGTTCTATTGTAAGTTAGGGTTGACGGTTAAGGGCTTGCGGGCGTGTATGCAGGGTGATCAGTACATCGGTTGGGCTGAAAGAGCAAACAGTTTTGGATTTAAAGGCTTGGGCTATGGAGTGCCCTGTAGTTCTTATGTTACAAACTCCTGGGCCCTATGAAAATCGATTCAGCAATGGAGCTGCAAACTCAAAAGTAACAGAACACCTAATCATTCAGCCACAACCATCTAACCCAAAGGGTCCTATGTACTGTTATGGGGAATACTTCCCCAAATCATAATAGTAATTCCTAATATAGAAACCCTACATTCTACTATATCGGTACTTTGGACCCTTTGGGTAAGCCGGCACCCTGGGCTAAACCCACCAGAAGGCTTGACCCCACAGGGCGCCCCGTGCTGCGAAACAGAGTGGCTGGATTCTTGCAGTTGACGCCTGGTCAGGATGTGCCTGACCTGCCAGGGGACGAACAAAAGACACATCCTATCTGTCTACTTGTCTATACTATTCCACAACATGCGAATTTGGGGTCTTGCTAGCATGGCCTGTCCTGGCCCGTTACTGGGTCCTTCTGACACCGCGCGGGTTACAAAGTCGAAACCCATGTAGCATCGCTATCTGAATCCCGCAAAGGTGCGATTTAACCCTAAGGATCCATGTACCCTTATAGTGGATACTTTAAGCCCCAAAGTAATCCCTATATAGGTACTTTAAGGCCTAAGTATCTACTATAAGGGTACATGGAGCCTTAGGGTAAGGGACCATGGCTTAGGGTGTCGTGTTGCGGGATTCCCGCAGACGGACTGAACCCAATGACAGAGACCCTGAAAGATCGAAAAGTCCGAGTTATTCAGTCCGCAATACCCGAAACCCTACACCCCAGGCCCTTTTTGTTTTTGTGCCAGTCTTGAAAACAAGTAGGCAATACGTCAGGGGCTTCCCACAGTCTCCATTGCACTTCCTATTTGGGGTTACCTTATAGGATTCTAAATCTATCTAAATATGTATTTTGAGCTGGCTAAACTAAGACGAGGAACTATAAGCAGACTAAGGGTAAGGCAACCTTTAAGCCAACACCGAGCTGAGCTACGGCGTGTTTGGCTGCTCTCGCCATGATGTCCACGGCCACAGCCTCCTCGAGCCGGGCCTTTTCGGATTCACGGCTTTATAAGGCTTCATGGGCTTAGGGTTTGGGGTTCAAGGCTCCAACTTTTCGGGTTTAGGGTTCCGACGTTTGGGGTTTAGGCTTCGGGGTTCCGGGTTTGTGGGTTCAGGGTTCAGGTGGGGCGGCGCATGTTGCTTAAGCTGCACTTGTATGAGTGACAGTCATATTGGAAGCCGGGGGCAAGCCCACCGGTCAAAACACAGTTTACGCGTCGAACACTTCGCGAAGCTCGCAAGTTGTCGCTGACTCGATATCAGTCTCGGACAATGACCGGTGGAGAATTTACCACTTGCACACGAAGTTTTGGGGTGTGCCTCACAACGAAGAGAATACCGGCGGCCTGCTCGGAGGTCAATTTCTCCGAGACCAATCGGAGCCTAGCCACGTTGAGAAGTAAAGCTGACGAGCCGCGTGCCATAAAGGTCCTCGACTAGGGCGCGTAAACCTCCTAGACGCCGCTTGCAAAACCAAGCCCTATAGCACCCTTATCGCAACCCTCGTAGTATCCCTTAAAGGAACCCCGTAATCCAAAGCCCTATAGCAATCTATAGCACCCTTACGTAAAGTAACCCTTATAAGCCTTATAGTATCCCCCTGGAATCCTAAGCCCTAAAGGACCCTTACAGTAACCCTCCTAGTATCGCTTAAAAGAACCCTCAAAGAAACTTGCAAGTAACTCCGTAAAGAACCCTTAATAGAACCTTTAAAGGAACTCCGTAAAGAACCCTTAAAGGAAATCCGTAAAGAACCCTTAAAGGAACCTTTAAAGGAACTCCGTAATCCTAAGCCCTGGATGCCTCGCCGCTGGGGAGGCTGCTGTGGCCAACGAGCCGCGGCCTTGGCTCTGGGAGACCAGGGGTGCGGTCTCTGTGTATCTTTAAGCGATCTCTTAAGGGATCTTTAAGCGATCATTTTAGGGGATCTTTATGGGATCTTTTAAGGGATCTGTTAAGGGATCTGTTAAGGGATCTTTTAAGGGATCTTTGAAGGGATCTTTTAAGGGATCTTTAAGGGATCTTTTAAGGGATCTTTAAGGGATCCTTTAAAGGGGTCTATAGAGGTACTGTAGTATAGGGACCTGAATGATTAGAATGGGGTTTTGGGGCACATTATCTTGTAATTATAGTAAGGAAGCCCCAAAATAGTATAGGTAACTATTACGTAAGGCCCCTATAGTATGAGTGCATCTTTAAGGGATCTTTTGAGGGATCTTTTGAGGGATCTTTTAAGGGATCTATAAGGCTACTATTTAGGTTTTAGGGGTTTGGGGTTTCGGGGTTTCTCTGTGCATGTACCTATAGTCTCCATTGTAGTTCCTTTCTTTGGTTAACCAAAATCTCTATTGTAGGATCCGAACCATAAAACTGGCTACACAAAAAAGGAACTACAATGGAGACTATAGGTGAGATACATCCGTACTGATAAGCATGAGTCTACATCTATGTGATCCATCCATCCATCCATGCATGCATGTATACATACATCGTACATCTATAGCGATACTGGACGCCAAAAGAACGACACGAAAGATCAGGGTTCATGTGGATTTACGTTGGTTTGGGGCTGTGGGGCATGCATCGCTGTCTGTGTCTGAGCTGGAGCTCAAGGTTCGGAGTCTAGAACATACTCTTCTTCTTCAACAACCGGGCCCCAAAAAGTTCAAACTTTCGAAGATAGAGCTAATATATAAGGCCAAAATCCCCCGTTCACTATCCAAGCATAAAGCTGACTCGACCGTTCCAACAGCAGAGAACCATGGCTGGTCAAGGGTTCAGTGGTGGCAAGGTGTATAGTGGTCCCCAAAAGGTTGGAAACCGGATTAAGGCCAAATAGTGCTGGGATTCCCTATGCATTACTCTTAAGGATTGAGGCTAGTGGGTTTCCAACTTCTGGGCTTCTCCTGTACGTAGTCAGGATACAAAAACAAGGGGAGAACACATGACCCCTTCCTATGCCCAGAAGCCAAAAAACAATGAAGCTTGTAGCCTAAATCTCCTGCACGGTAACTAAAACACAAACATACCCTAAAGCCTAAACCCTAAACCCTCCCCAAACATAGGCGCCAGATCTTTAGGACGACCCGCCGAGAAGAAACCCGACAGCCCTTCACCCGCAGTCTTCTCAGGCCGGCACTATGCCGATCTGGCCGGGTTTTGCCATAAGGGGTTTAGGGTTTAGGGGTTTAGGGTTTAGGCTTGAGGGTTTGAGGGTTTAGGGATTTCGGGTTGAGGGTTTAGGGTTAACACATCCTTCTTTCAGGGGCCGTCACCTCAGGATCAACATTATAAGCCCTATTCCGGGAGGGGGTTGGATTAATCATGGGCGTTGTATAACCTGCTTTCCAGGAAGGAAAGTGCAAGCACTGCCGGCTATGCCCAAGGTGAAAGTGTTTTTAAAGCCTTCGCAGTTCATTTCGATGCCACTAATTATGGTCGCGAGATGGTGTATACCTAGAACATGTAATCATGATCTTGAGGCCCTGGTGTAGATCCCTGAAACCCATCTCTGGCACTCGACACTCGGCCGCGGCACTCTGCGAGGCCGCAGGACAACCTCGCCGGGATTCGCCGGGATCGGAGAAGGCAGCCTCATGATTCACGGGCTCGTGAGTGAGGTCGTGGGTCCCGGCTAACCTTACTTAGAGGATCATGGGACTTAGGAAGTAGGTTATAATTGGGGTTATAAGTCCCCTAAGTGGGGTTATCCTAAATATAACCCACTTATAACCTTACTTACTAAGTCCCATGAGCCTTTAAGTACTTCGACTTACCAAAGCCTACTTTTCCTGTAGGTTCCTATTCTAGTCCTACAAGGAATTTATCGTGCCTAAGAACATGGGTTTGGGGAAGAATTCCTCCCAGAACCCTCAATACCACCACGAGAGGAAACCCTGAACCACCAAGGCCCACCAGGGCTCTCTTCGGGGTGCTTGGAGGGTTTCGATACTCGATCTTATGCACTGTATACCTTAGAAGCTGCCCCCACCCTGTAATAGTGACTATAAGGATTATATATGATTATATTAGGGCCCTATTATATTCCTATTATACCACTATTACAGGGTAGGGGCAGCTTCTAATGTATACCCCGATCACGCAACTGCACTGCCCTAAACCCTGAACATCCAAGGGTTCATGTACCCAACCAGTACATACCTTGGCAACCTGGGCTAATCGGGCGGTCCTGATCGGCATGTGGGAGGTCTAGGTAAACCCTACCTGTTCCTCAGCCACAACCCCGAACACTAAACTACAAACCCGTAGTCCCAAAACATAAGCCAGGACCCTTAAAGCCCTTAAACCCTTCCTATACACCATAAACCCGAAACCTTTCATAAACACCATAAGTCCTATAAAACCGGCATAGACTCAACCACCAGGCATTTCTACATGTTTTTTTAACCCAGAGCCGGCTTTGGTGTAGAGACAGTTGCGAGCCTTGTGCTTGAGGGTTAAGGGTTCAGGGGTTTAGGGTTTAGGGGTTTAAGCTGTTTAGGGGTTTAGGGGTTAAGGGTTTAGGGGTTTAGGGTTTACGGTTTAGGGTTCGTCTCAAAGGCGGGCACACTGAGGTCCTATACACAGTTGTGCAGGGATTTCTATGGACTCTGCGGGCTCTATACCGCTACGCAAGGCAGATGTCTCAAAGCTTTCTGTTATACTTTGGCCTTAAAGTAGTCCCTATAGGGGTGCTTTGGGGCCAAAGTATATACTGTTTGCACCCGGGGTAGTGTCTGATGGTCTACCACAACGCCGGCAAGGTGCGAAGATACCGCGGATGCTGCGCTCGCCCCGGGTTTGCGGCCAGAAGCTGGGCAGCTGCCAGAATGCGATCGGGAAGACCTGAGCCACGGTTTAGGGTTTAGGGTTTAGGGTTTAGCCATGAAGGGCTTTGCACAGTTCCGAATGTAGGGCTTAGGGTGGCCAGTGCTGTTGATGGCATATTACAGGGTGCTGTGGGATGCTGTTGGGATCTTATCCGTTGTATACCCTTCTCCTAACCTGCGAAGAGTTCTTAAACCATGAAGTACATGTTTCTGAAAGATGCTGGCTACTAAGGAAGAACAGCAACTTTCAATTGTCTTTGACAAGAAACGCCAAAACCCTAAACTCGGGACTGCGAAGGTGCGGTCACGCAGGTGAGGTCCTCAGCGACATGTATTTTTTCAGAAACGCATTGTTCTCCCGAGAAACGCATAAACCACATGGGACATAGTTTTTTCCCGGCAGGCAGTGATGTCTCAAACTCACGACTCCATGGACGAACATTCTCGTGATGAACATCTGTTTCTCTGTTCAAAGTCTTTCTCACCCAAGACCTAACCTAATCTGTATTACCTCACCTTGGTTGCTCCGATAAACCTCTACCCATAGGCCCCAAAGTAGTTCCTTTTTGGGATTACCTTATAGGATTCTATATACGGGTGGTTGTCAAAATTATGGTCCCTTTTTGGGTCCCTATTATAATACGGCACCTAATATTTAGTAGGGTACCCAAAAAGGGACCCTAATTTTGACAACTACCCATACAAACCCCCAAAAGGAACTACTTTGGGGCCTTAGGGTAAACCCAAAAACCGCCCTGATCTGGCAGCAAGCAGCCCTCGGTCCTCAAGAATTCTGAGGCAGTTTAGGGTTACTATTATTACGGTTATTGCTATTATTACTACTATTATTACTATTACTATCCTTATTACTATTATTACTAATATTACTAGTATTACTATTACTGTTGTTAAGAGCTTCGAGATGAGAGGATCCGGCTGAAGAGGGCTGAAGCTTTGCTCTTTCGGAGCGGTCTTTAAAAAGTAATATTTGTTAAAAAAGTTGTATTTCCCATCTTGGCTTTTGTACGGATCTGAAGTTCGACCCCAAGTACCCCCAGTAGCGCGGGCCTTAGAGAATACGCATAAATAACAAGGCTTTGGGCTCTTGGCAAGCCGTTTACGATTCTGGGGATGTTTTTAAAACGTATCGTGGGGGGGGCTTACGGATTTACGACCTCAGCCCAGTACTCAACAATCATTTCACAGAGCCTAAACCCAAAACCAAAACCTCCTCAACTCCAAACCTTGAACCCTTCCAAAACTCCAAACCATCTACCTAGACCCCCAACTACCCTCTAATAATATGCCCCAAATACCCACTATGAAGGACCATAGGGGCTCCATTAGAGGGCCTTTGGGGGGTCCTGGTACATACCTACTTAAAGGCTCATGGGACTTAGTCAGTAAGGTTATAAGTTTATATGTAGCTTATAATTAGGATAACCCCAATTAGGGGACTTATAACCCCGACTATAACCTACTTACTAAGTCCCATGATCCTCTAAGTAGGAACCATCGATCTCCAAAACGAGGGGTGGAAGCACGGAGCCCTGCCGAAACCCAAAGCTGCAATGACCAGCGGCTCTCATCCACAGGGTCAGCCGCCTCCGCTAGTTACTGCGGGGCCTTAATAATGGTTTTTGGGGCCCACTATACCATATTTATAATAAGGAACCCCCAAAACATACGTAATTATTAAGGTCTCTATATGACGTTACGGACATGGAGCTGTACAAGGGTTTTGTTGGTATGGTTGTGTCAAGGTTTAAGAGGGCTTCACTGAGTTTCGACGAATATTTACATTACAGGGTACCATGCGGTTGTTGCGAGTGCTTCACAGAGCTTCTCCAAACTATGGGCTGCCTTGTTACCAGGGGCGCTTATGGCAGAGTGTCGCAGTTTGAGAGGCAATGCACGGACATACCCAAAGGCCAAGCCCCAAAAAAACCTACTCAACATCCCCAACCGTCCAGTCAGACCCTTTATTGAATCACTAACAGCGCAGCCTTTCACAATGGCTATTTGGCTATTGCTGCTGCTGATGCCACTACTGCTACCACCACTGCTACGACGACTACGACAACAACGAATACTAACTACTACTGCTACTACTACTAATAATAATAACAACAATAACAATAGCAATTACGAGTACTACTACTACTACTACTACTACTACTACTACTACTACTACTACTACTACTACTACTACTACTACTACTACTACTACTACTACTACTACTACTACTACTACTACTACTACTACTACTACTTACTACTACTACTACTACTACTACTACTACTACTACTACTACTACTACTACTACTACTACTTACTACTACTACTACTACTACTACTACTACTACTACTACTACTACTACTACTACTCCTGCTACTACTACTACTACTACTACTACTACTACTACTACTACTGCTACTACTACTACTACTACAATTACTACTACAATTACAACTACAATTACTTCTACGATAACTATTACTACTACTACTACTACTACTACTACTACTACTACTACTACTACTACTACTACTACTACTGCTACTGCTACTGCTACTGCTACTACTACTACTACTACTACTACTACTACTACTACTACTACTACTACTACTTCTACGACTGCTACTACTCAACCACCACCACCACCACCACCACCACAACCACGATCACGACCACGACACAACCACTACGATTACGACGACAACAATGGCGACTGTTGTGGCTACAGGTACTGCTCGTGCTACTGTCACTGTCACTGCCACTGCCACTGCTACTGCTGCTGCTGCGGCTACCCCTACTGCTGCTACTGCTGCTGCTACTACTACTACCACTACGACGACTGCCGCTACCGCTGTTGCTGAGTCACAAAAGTGAGCCTAAAATGAACCGAGGCTTAGGGTTTTGAGTCGAGGTTTTGGCTCACTCGACGCTGATCTACATTGAGAAGGCTGTTAATCGAAAGCTCCGTCAACGCTAGGCACGCTGGTATTGCATACTTTTGAAAGGGATCCTTTACAGGCTCCATTTAAGGGATCTGAAGGGGCGCTCAAAGCATTTACGGGTTCAGGGCTTGCTGCAGAGGCCGGAATAAGTACTAACCGCATGTATTCCGTGGGTCCTTTACAATATCAACAAAAAATCCCAACACTGCTTAGGGAAAATGTTCAAGGCTCCTGTACTCCTATACTGCATGAGATGGCACAGAGGCTCCGTCGATGCCCAAAGAATATCCGGACTGCATTGCAACTTGCTACTCAGCAGCATGTTCCCTAAGAAGATCCACCTTGCAACAATTGTATCGATTGGTTACCGGACAAACGCCGAGTCCGAAACATCCGAACATCCTAGCAGAAGCGAAGCTCCAATCAACACGTTACCAAGAATGCCAAAACCCTAAACCCAAAGCCCCTAACCTTATACCCTAAACCCACATAACATCGCAAAATTGTGAATCAAGTTAGAGTTGAAGTTTAGGGTACAGGGTTGTAAGTTATAAGGGCTTAGGGCTTTGCATCATGCAGGGTTTGGGGCGTTCTGAGTTTACTGCTTAAGTCTAAAAACTATTGTTGTTGTTGCTGCGGTTTATGCCTTAACTGCTAAGGCTTAGTATGCCACTCTGTGAGACTGACCTTTTTTCTCATGCCCTTAACCTCTAAATCCCCACGTTCCTTTACAACCATTGCCGGGAATCGGTACACTGGGGGATGAAGTAGGTGCTGCAGGCAAAGAACGATCTGTCATTGTAAAGAGGGTCTTGAAAAACTGCTTTTCTGCTACTTCTGATACACTGTGTCTAACAACACAGGCGACATGGCTGTGCTGGGCCTCGTCCTTTGCCACTCCTCTGTGCAAGAAGGGCGGTCGCCTGGCTTCTGCTGCCCGGAGCAAAGCGGATGATGCGGACAGAAGCATATCACAGGGTCGTACACTCGTTGCAAGATGCACTATGAAACTTTTTGTACCTGAATGTCAGCAAATCCAAAACGCCACTATCAAGCCAACACCCCAAAGAGACACTCACACCGTCGATGAACCCTTCACCCCAATACTCCTAGAACCCTCCTGAAGCCCTAAACCCCTAAACCCTTAATCACAAAACTCCTAGAACCCTGCTCTTGCCGAGCATCGTGGCCAAGCCGGTGAAGAGCACACCGAAGCAGTTGCTCTGCCTCAGGACTCACATTGCCGGCTTCATAAGAAGCTTTTCAAACTGTTTTTTCTTTTTAAGGTTGGTGTCGAGGTGATTAGGGGTAGCTTGCGGGTGCAGAGTACTGCAAGACTCTTCACTCTCCCTTCCGCTAACTTTACATTAACTTGATACTGCTGCCTGTGACCACGTCGAGTACGTTACCACTCACCATCTCTACTGACAAGCTTGCTCCTCCTGCTGCTGCTGCTGCTGTTACCACTGCTGCTGCGACTACTACGACTACGACTACGACTACGACTACGACTACGACTACGACTACGACTACTACTACGACTACGACTACGACTACGACTACGACTACGACTACTACTACTACTACTACTACTACTACTACTACTACTACTACTACTACTACTACTACTACTACTACTACTACTACTACTACTACTACTACTACTACTACTACTACCTACTTGCTACTTGCTACTTGCTACTTGCTAATGCTACTGCTACTGCTAGTGTTACTGCTACTGCTACTGCTACTGCGACCGCTACCGCTACCGCTACTGCTACTGCGACCGCTACCGCTACTGCTACTGCTGCTGCTACTACTACTACTACTACTGCTACTACTACCTGCACACCGCCAACCATCAACTCCAAAAGTATACTTCAAACTGTCAGCCACGTGCCCAAGACAAGTGTGCTCATCCTATTGATGAAGGCACTCGTCCTGACACATCGGGCAGAATCTCCTGAATGCAATCTGGTTTGTGCAGTGTTGGCTCCGGCCGGCTTTTGTTTAGTCTACAAACCTATGTTTAGCGCGCCTTCCCGCAAGACAATACGCCTGGAAGGAATCGTAATACAAAGCTCAATTTTGAATCCTTTGCGTGAGCCTGCGCCTACTCTAAACTCTAAGCTCTGTATCCTTAACCCAACAAGCCAAAAGCACAAGCCTTCCAAGCCCCTGAACCCTTGAAGCAACCCTCTGCCCCACCAAACGCTAAACCCAATTAAACCTTCGCTAGAATCTTACAGCAATCCTCAATTGACCTCACAACCCCCCTGAAATAAGGTTCCGACCACTCCCATGGCGATTCCGAACTTGACGATTCCGCGGTCGCCTTCCCTGCCGCAGTGTGCGGTCTAGGCGGTCTACAGATTGCAGGGCTGGGGCTTAGAATTTGGGCTTAGCACTCTGGGGTTCACTTTGGGATGCTTCGGGACTTTAGGGTTATGCATTGTATGTAGATGCTTGTGGTTTGTTAATTCATGTGAGCTCGTCATTGTTAAAGGTCCCGTCAATAGAGCGAAACTCGGCCCGGAACTCAATAATAAAGGTCCCCTCAATAGAGCCCCCCAATGGTCCTAAAACCCGTCCCGGTGTTAATTTTAAGGTTTAGGTAAAGAAGATACAGTGACGCCCTGGAAGAGGAGAGACAGAAAGAGGCAAGAGAGACAGAGAGAGGCCAGATAGAGGAGACACAGAGAAGAGAGATAGCCAGCCAGCCAGACTAAGAGGAGCAAGAGGGCCGCTGGAGCAAAGAGGGCTGCTGAAAAGTACTACTACTGTACTACTACAACTACGGTACTACTGTACTACTACTTACTACTGTACTACTAACTATACTACTACTGAGAGCCCCGGCCCCCCAAACAACTTCGACCCCGGGCCCCCAAACAACTAAAGATGATCAAGGAGGGAGGCGGCCCCCCCAAAACTATTGCGTGGTCTTAGTTGTTCGGGGGGGGGGGGGTATAATCAGGAGACCAGGTTATGCCTTATAGCCTTATGGTCTTGAGAAGCCAAGTTTGGGTTTAGGGAATTTAGGGTTTGGGGTTCCGGGTTGAGGTGTAGGATTTTGAGCTCTGCGTGGAAGTGTGATGTCTAAAGTTGTGGCGGATAGTGGCTTTCGGCTGCACCTTGCCCCCCGGTAAGTCATCTGACCGAACCTGAGTCTGCAACCTTAAAGAACAAACCCCTGAATCCAGAGTCCCAACAAACGTAAGCCCAAAGGGCCCGGTCCATGCACTCACGTAGTATAGCCTTGTGTCTATTAAAGGCATTCCTACAAAATACATGTAGGTCATGTAGGACTATACGACTCTCAGGCAAACCGTAAACCCGAAAGCCTACGACTTGGACCCCCCAACTACCCTCTAATAGCCTAATATACCCCAAATAACCACTATTAAGGACCAGAAGGGCTCCATTAGAGGGCCTTTGGGAGGTCCTGGTAGGAAACCCTAAACCCTAAACCCTAAACCCTAAACCCTACCCTAAACACTACCCTAAACCCTAAACCCTAAACTAGGAGACATGGACCCTGAAGTGTAAGCCCTGAACCCCGCCTCTTCCGGCTTCTGGAAGGTACCAGACCTGCCCAGGGCTGTCAGGGCTGTCAGGTTTAGGGTTTAGGGTTTAGGGGTTTAGGGTTTAGGGGCTGTCAAGCCCAGGTAAGGGAAGGAGGGGATCCACGAGGAAGTCTGTAAGGCTTCTATGCAAGGGCATGTTTTTGATAAGGGTTCTGTTAACTTTTTCTAAACTAAGTGGCCTGTGATGGTCTTTTCTTGGAGACTGGCGCGCCTTCTTTCGACAGTCCAAAACGGAACCCTAATTTCAAGAACTGCCCAAGAATCTTTGGTCCGTGCGGGCATCCCCGCGCCCGCCTCGCAGGCGCAGCCGAAAAGCCCCGGCGCATCAAACCGCTGAAGGTCGCTGCTGCAGCAGCTGAGTGCAGAGGCTACCTAGGTTTCTGGAGGGTTTGGGAAGGCACTCCACGTAGGCTGTCATGAGCCGCTGCATTGGATAACCTAAGCCTTCACCCATCAGTACAGTATGTCTTTGTAAGCCCTCCGAGGGAGGTGCCCAGACCTTCCAAAATCCTTTAATTAAGGAATATACCTTAAATCATATTAAGGATCATACTATAATTTAGAGGATATTCCTTAATTAAAGGATTTTGGAAGGTCTGGGTGTTACCGAACGCGAAGCCTTGAGACCGTGAAACCTGAGGCTTCGCCAACCCTGTAACTTGCTAAAGCTCTTAGTCTTCCTGACACCTTTCTACATATCCGTGTGATCCAAAGCCCGTAACAAACCGTACAGCCAACCCAAAAAAGCATTAAAATCATATAGAAACTGTCTAAAAATCTTACCATGCCCTCTTAAGATCCTGTGCCCCCTAGACTGGCCAAACCCCTTCGAAGCCCCGCAAAGAAACAGCACACGCCTGAGCAATCTCAAACTCTCCACCCTAAACCAATAACACTTATAGCCTTACTGTTGATGATATGAATCCTGCATTACCCATAATAAAGAATATACGATACCCTAAACCCTAAACCCTAAACCCTACCCCTGGAACCCCTAAACCCCGATCTCCTATGCCCTAATCATATGATGTAAGGCTCCACAACGAAGGCCGTGCCTCATCCACGAGCAGCGCAGGGGAGCTAGCGACCCGAACCTCAGTTCTCTCCCTGGTTCTTACCTATAGTCTCCATTGTAGTTCCTTTTTTTGGTTAACCAAAATCTCTATTATAGGATCCTAACCATAAAACTGGTTAACCAAAAAAAGGAACTACAATGGAGACTCTAGGGTACGGAAAAACCAGGGAGTTCTTGTAACGGATGAACTTACTTGCCGGAATAGGGACGTTAAGGAAGGTTTGTCTCAGTTACCATAGTCGGCATGTTCAGGAATGCACTTTAGCATAGCAACTACTACTGCATCTTTATGAAGGTAACTTAAGACTGAAGCCAAGCTCCGTAGCATGAACGCAGTACCCCTTCGCTGAACTTCGCAGGGGCTTAACATGTGGGTGGTTGTCAAAATTATGGTCCCTTTTGGGGTCCCTATGATAATACGGCACCTATTATTTAAGGGTACCCCAAACGGGACCATAACTTCGACAACTACCCATGTGGGTCTATAGGGCTCAGGGTTTGGGGCTTCGGAGTTTGGGTCGTTTTGGGGGTTGTGACTCTGTGCTTATGTTCTTGGCGTGTGTTGGCTTATGGGCCTCAGGATTTCGGTTCAGTGTTTAGTGTCACAACAGTGTTTTCATGATTTTGGTGGCTTTCCGTCTGGCTGCAAGGCCGGTAAAGTGCTACAAAGGTTGCTAAATGCCCTATAGATCCCTTATAGGAACCCTTGAAGGAACCCCTATGGATCCCTTTAAAGGTACCCCTAATTTTCGGAAACTCCTTTGGGTTCCTGGACCTTCAGGGTCAGGGTCACACAGGGGCGGGTTAGAGATTTAGCCCAACCCTCCATGTACCCATATAGTATTTACTTAGGCCTTCCGGTACCTAAATTATAGGGACCCCTTTAAGGCCTATACAAAGGTACATGGAGCCCTTGGGTGGGGTTTAGGGAGATTTCCTGCCCGAGTAGGGCCATGCGGAAAGACAAGGTCCAGGAGAGCACTTGCGAGGGAGTTTACGCAACGTAGGGTGTCTTTAGGATTTTGCCTGGGCGTAATGGCGGAAACTCAGTGGGCCTATGTAGTATAGGGTTTTTAGTCCCAACAATACGGCCTAAATGGGGTTTTAGGTATCTACAGTATCGACACGCCTACTCTTGGTATGGTAGGTCGACGGACCAGTGAAGTACAGAAAGCTTGGGGCAGGACGCTCCAGGGTTGGGGCTTGAAGCTTGTTGCTTAGGCCTTAGACTTAGGGCTTTGTTGTTTAGTTTCGAAGGATGTAGGACCATAGTCTAGCAAGGACTCTAAAGCCTAGAACCCCGAAGCCCTAAACTTCAATTCTAAACCGTGCTTGTAAGGACCCTAGTATGAGGGTTTTGTGGCCATTAGGCCAACTGAAAGGCTAACCTGGCCAACCTCAAGCCAAAAACCCGGGTCTTAGGTTCCTCCACCAAATAGGGATTATGCAGTGATTCTGACACTCTCTGCTTTTTGAGCCTTTACCGGGCTTTCGGCATCTGGGTTTACGGGGTTGGGGTTGAAAGTTAATCCTCATCTGAAAGCCTACCCTGTATTAGCGTTTAGGGTTGAGGGTTTTGGGTTACCAAACCCAGCGAATCAAACTAGCTCGACTTCTGAAACCCTAAATTACACTGAACCGCTCTTTGAACCGCATCTGGGTTGTTTGTTAAACACCCTTAGAAAATTATTTATGAAGAGGTTCCCTTTATAAGGAACTAAGGGAAATTAAAAATTATCCCAAAGCACAACCCAGACATCCCTGGGTCTTAACCTCAAGCGCAGCTCCCTAAGCCCCCGCCTGATCCTGGACCAACATATGGGAATTTGCGAAATTAGGGGTACCTTATTTGGGGTTCCTTATAATCAGGATCCTACTACTTAAGGTTCTACCCAGACCTTCCAAATTCCCTTAATTAAGGAATATCCCTGAAGTTATAGAAGGATCCTGAGTATGATTTAAGGTATATTCCTTAATTCAGGGATTTTGGAAGGTCTGGGCAGATTAGGGTCCCTTGTTTCGGAAACTCCCATATCAACGCCAGATCCCTAAACCGGCTGTTACATGCCCTATGCACTGTCGGTCTAAACAGGGAAGCTGGGCGCACCCCAAGGGACCCATAGGCCCCATAGTAGTTCCTTTTTGGGATTACCTTATAGGAGTCTATATACGAACCCCCAAAAGGAACTACTTTGGGGCCTTTGGGGAAGGTTTAGGGTTTAGGGGCACGGCTCGCCTCAGGCTTACTGCAGCGGATGCCAGTAAGATCTCCTGGCATTGGAGTGGACCCCCCAAAAGCACATAAACATAAGCATCTTATACGGATATCCCTACAGTACCTTATTGGGCTTCAGTATAAGGGGGATTTATTTGGGATATCTCTATCCTTACTTTTGCTTATGGGCTTTTTTGGGGCCCTAGATTTAGGAAAGGCACATGGTTCAAGGTTGGAAGAGTTGAACTCGTACGCAAATTCCCTTAAGGGTCCTGTACCCAACTCGTATATACATGGGCCTTAAGGTCTAAGTACCCCCCAAAAAGGTACATTGGGGCCCGAAGCATAGAACCCTAAACCCTAAACCCTAAACTCTAAACCGTGGCTCTGCACTTGGGCGCATGGACCGTGAGTCTGAAGGTCCTCAATGCAGTACGTATACTTGGAGGATCATGGGACTTAGTAAGTATGGTTCCTTAAAACGGGTCCTTATAGGGCTCCTTAAAGGGATCCTTAAAGGGATCTATAAGGGTTCTATAAAGGAGGGTAAGGTGATAAGTACCCTAAGTGGGGTTAGAAGTAAATATAAGTATAGTTACCTTAATTATACCCCTAGTTACTAAGTCCCATGATCCTTTAACTATGTCTGCTCAGGACTGTTCACTTGCCACGAAGCTCGAACTCGCGATCTACTACCTCGCTGTAATGAACACTAGCATCGTCATCTAATCATCATCAGCAACATCAACGTCAACTTGACCCACACAATCATCACCATCGTAAGCCGCAGAAACATCTTCATCATCACCACCACTGTCACAATTATGGTTACACTGTGCATGCTCGATAACAAATGCACCCTCAGTGGGCAGAACCAGCACAGTAACCCGAAATCATACACAGCGAGCTAAATTCCTCAAGCCCCAAACATCCGACCAGGAGACCCCTAACTCACATACAAAAGGGGCCGTCATAATTGGAATAGGGTTTTGGGGGTATATATAATACTGTAAGCAAACTAAGGACGCCCCCCAAAAATTGTATAGTACCCAAATACCGAACCTCGAGCCGAATATTCAGCAGAAACAAAACCCAAACCCCCAACCTCTGAACCCGGCAACCGAAACCGTGTAAAACAACAACGCACTGGACCGCACACCCAAGAGTCCCCTAAAACCTAAACCTAGCACATGGTTGGGATAGGCTTAAAAAAATCCTTATTGGGTTTAACTACCCATATAAATATGTGAAATGTTACCCAACTATGACAAAGAACTGCCAAACCCAAGAATCCTAAACTCTCGAAGCCTTCTCCCCTACCAAGATCCCCCAAGTGCCCTTTGAAAGTGGGTATTCGGGGTATATTAGAGGGTAGTTTGGGGGGTCTGGGGTACATGCTAAACCCAAGAATCCCCGAAACCCTAGGCCCTAAACTCTAAACCCAAGAATCCTAAACTCTCGAATCCTTTTCCCCGAATGCCCTCCGGACGCCCCACGTCCGCTCACCTGGAGGCGCTCCGAAGACCAAAGCGAGGCATTCGACAGAGACCTGGACGTGTGGCATAGCGTGTGGCATATGGGAGTTTCCGAAAAGTGGGGGTACCTTTAAACGGATCTGTAGAGTTTAGGGTTGAGGGGTTTGGGAGTTTCCGAAAATAGGGGGTACCTTATCTTGGGGTCCTGATAATTAGGATCCTACTATGTAGGGTACCATATTGGGGCCCCCTGTTTTCGGACACTCCCATATAGAGTCTTGGGGTTTAGGCTTTGGGGTTTAGGGTTCAGGGTTTTGGGGTTTTACTGTGCAGGATCTTTGGATTAAGGGTTTAGGGTGTACCTGGACCCGAAAAGTAGGTAGAGCAACAGCCCTTTATACGTTTGGGGGCCATCATCTCACCTACCTTAGAAGGGGGTGTAGCTAGGGTCTTGGGGTTTAGGCTTCAGGGTCTTCGGGTTCCCAGACCCGCGGGAGATCCCTATTGGGGCTCCTATACAATACCCTTAGTAGTATAGGGCCCCAAAATTCGGGGATTCACTTTCTAGATCCTCCCGGGGGTCTGGGTTTACAGTAGAAGCCAGAAAGTTGGAATATCATTATCGTAACCCTTTTAAGGTAAATTATAGGGGATCCTACCATTAATCCATATTCCAACTTTCTGGAGTTCCCTTTATGCGAGTTTGTTTGTCATGCTTGCTTTTCATAGGCCTGTGTAGGGCTCCATGGGAGTTTACAAGGGCTTTGCAGGGCTTCTTGAGAGATGTAGAAGGTGATATGAGAATTTACGGATTTACAGAAGACTTCATGTTTGCGACATGGGATATTTCCAGGGCTTTATGTGGCTATTTGCCATTCTTCGTAAAGGTCAACGTCAAATAGGGTCTACCAATGTTTGGGTCTACAGCATTAAAACAGAAACCCTAAACCCTACAGGTTTGGCTTCGTGTTTGGTGTTGGGCACATGGACATCTGGGGACCGAGTTGAATAGTTCCTGAAGTCTAAGTTACGAGAGCTGTGTGCCTTGGCAGGCAGGCCACGGCTGACTCGGAGGGCAGCGGCGAGTGGAACCTTCTTTTGGTTTGGTTTAGGGATTTCGGGTTTTAAAGTCTAGGGTGAAGTTTAGGGATTGGGTTTGGGGTTTAGTTTAGGTTCCAACTGAAATGTATCTTTGGCCAGGACGATAAAAGGCGGCTTGTCAAGTCTTTGGCGGGATTTCGAAACATCTCTCAAGATTTGGAGTTTTGCTACCGAAGGCTTCATTTGCCACGGCGCTCAGACGTTTCAGGAGTTCGGCGGTTTAGGAGGTTTGAGGCATCATCCGCACCCCAAGAAACTCCCAGATCGCAAAAATCTCAACCTGAAGCCGTACCCTAAGATACTAAGAAGAGAAGGACATGTGCATAACGGTAGTACTCGGGAACCTGGCAGCAGTATTGCCAGGAATGATTCATTCACCCACCACAGCACAATCATCGCAACTGGTGAAGGTACCACGTCACCGGCGCTGATAGTCCCACGACATGTTTCAAAAAACCTAAACCGCCTAAACCCTACGTAGGAGTTTCCGAAAATAGGGGACCTTAATATAGTACCCTGAATAGTAGGATCCTTATCATAAGGACCCCAAAGCAAGGTAACCCTTATTTTCGGAAACTCCTGCGTCGTAGAACTCGAGAGTCCAAAGTCCTGAAACCCGAAGCACTTAAACCTCCAACCTCCATCTCTAACCCCTATACTCTCACAGACTCTTGAGAAAAGAAACTTACAGACCCCTAAAACCCTACACCAGAAACCCTAATAAACCCTATAAGCCTTTCAAGTCCAAACGCCCAAGCTCTAAACCCGAAACCCAAATCCCTAAACCCCTATATACATAAACCCTAATAAACCCCACTGTAATAAACCCTAATGCACCTTACTAAAGCCTAATTACGCCCTAATAAACCCTATGAGCCTTATATCTTGAAAACCCTGAACCCTAAACCCTCATGAACCCTAAACCCTACTAAACCCTAAACCTTAATAAACCCTCATACACCCTAACAAACCCGACTAAACCCTAATAAACCCTATTCAACATAAACCCTAATAAACCCTAATAAACCCTAAACCTCAAAATCTTAAAAACACCCTGAACCTCAAACCCTGACGAACCCAAAACCAGAATAAACCCTAAACCTCAAAATCTTAGAAACAAAAAAAAGACACCGGCCTCCAGAGATAGCAGCCTCCTCGGATTCGAGAGGGAAGCGCACCATCGCTGCAAGTCGACGCCTCAACCGGGACTTTTAGGCTTAAGGGTTTAGGGTCTAGGGGTTTAAGGTTGTTTTGTTTTTAAGTGTTTAGGGTTATGGGGCTTAGGGCTTCGCATAGTTTAGGGATTTGGTTTAGGGGTTTAGGGTTTTGGGGCTTAGGGCTTCGAATAGTTTAGGGGTTTCGGGCTTCAAATGTTTTACAAAAGACTTAAGCCCCAGGAAAATCTATATGACAAATCAGAATGCCATCTAAGAAACTCCTGGACACTAACATCTGCATCACGTTTGGCACGGATAGTCCCCGAAGGGTTGAACTCATCATTGTGCTTCTTCAGAATGTCAGTCCACGACAGTCCCTTCCATACCTCTGTCTCAGGCAGAGCCACTTTGTTGCAACGCTTCCCTTTGGCAACTGTGTCGAATAGAAGCACAAGCTCATTGTTCGGGGATGGCAAAGTCAACTTGAACTCTGAAAGGTTCAGGGTCGGACTGCTCGACTGTGGGACTGGGGCCTGTATCATGGTATCTGGAAGCTTGGCCAAAGGGTACTCACCACGTCCAATGGCACCCTTGACATGCTCTGCAATGACTGACTCAAGAGTGTATATGAGGCTTTGGGTTTAGGGGTTTAGGCCTTCGAAAATTTGAAGGCTTAGGGGCTCCGGGCTTCGGGTTTTGCAAAGGCGCTGTACTATCAGGGCTCTGCTGGAGTTTCGGGCCGAAGGTTTCGCGGCTCAGGGTTCAGCTTACCTTTGGTTAGTGGGGAATGGAGGAATGGGGTACAATTATAACTACTATTACTACCATTCTTCCATTCCCTACTAACCAAAGGTAGGTCAGCGCTTCCACCTATAGGGTTTGGGGCTTTGAGCGTTGAGGTTTACCCAAAACCCCGTACATCCTCAATGTGTTGCAGAGAAGCTTGGACAGCAGATTCGGTTCTCTCTGGAGGACATGTAACCCCTCTTACAGCATGCTGATGAGCTCTTCCGAAATACCTGTAAGAAGCTCTTGTTACTGCATCAAGTCACGTTGCACACTGGGGTCGTGCGCACCTTACAAATCCCATGCAATCCCAAAGTAGGCCCTACATCAACCCCATATACCCCCTTATCATCCCCATGCAGGCCTTATGAATCTCGCTGATACTAGCTAGCATTCTCGAGACACCTGAAGGTGCGGCGATGCGCAGCTGGTGCGACTGCTCCTGCAGCCACCTCCGAGGGGTCTTCAGGCTTCATGGCTTCTATTGAAGCCTGTTGCTGTAGTTAAGGGCCTTCTTCACGGCTTGGAAGACCTTTGCACGATCTCAATAAAGCTTTGTCGGGTATACGGAGGGCTTGCCAACAACCCTAAACCCTAAACCCTAAACCCCAAACCCTTCGCGCTTGCCAGATCAGAGTTTTGGTGGTGCGTTCCGTGTTCAGGGTACCTTATTCTCACGTCTCCCTCGCAGGGTCAAGACACGAGCCTCAAGAAGTGCAAGGGTGCATTAAAACTCCACAGGGCTGCACGCGTAAGGGGACAGCAACAGTGTGAAGCGTGAACACCAAAGGGCACTAAAACCCCGCCATCCGGAAACCTGAGCCACTACACCCACACAAATACCTTGAGGCCCCAAAGTAGTTCCTTTTGGGGGTTCACATTAAGAATCCTATATAAGGTAATCCCAAAAGGAACTACTTTGGGGCCTTAGGGTACATCTGGGTTTGATCCTACATTGCCTAACCCCACACGCCCAGAGCAGACCCACGATTCATGAACCTCCTTCTCGAAACAAGGGTTATCATAGGGGTCCAGATGTTGACTGGCGCGGGTTGTTTCATGTTTTCGTTTTCTTTTTGGGGGTCGTTCAGACTTTGGGTTTGGGGTGTACATGCATGGTGTAGTCTACTGCATAAATTTTGGAGAAACATAGAGGCGGAACTTAGAGTTGATCTAAGAATTCCGGGTTTGGGCTTCATTATAGGGCTCAGCATAAGTAGCAAGTGATACGGCCAGTCAAGTATCGTCAACTTTGAACCATAGTACGCACCCTCAGAAAACCACATCTGTAGTGTCCCAGGCAATTCTAATCGCAAGAACCACCAGAAAAGAAGGGAACCAGAAACTATCCGCTGTTCGAAGACGCTCGGAGTCCAGCTGCATCCGTTGCCTGCAGCAGTCGCTGAGAGCGATCCCCATGGTCTGAGCCGACCTCATGTAGGCATGGAGTCTAGGCGTAACATACGGGATTGGGAAAAGTCGTTTAAGTATTCCTGCAAGTGCGTTGTTAACGCTTGTAATCATTGCTGAGAAACGTGCTAAACAAGCATTGCGGGTTTGGTGAGTTTCGTTTGCAGATAGCTTTTCATGTATGACTTGACGTACCTTGCCTATAGCCGCAGTAATGCTGAGTTCCCTGATCCCAGAGTAGGTGAGGGTTACGTTATGCACTGCTTGGGTTGTAAACACACTCATTGTCGTGCCCAGCGGCTCTTTCTCACCACGGTCGTGCCATGGGAGGGTGGGCGATGCCAGCAGCCGCAATCCCATCCCCTGGCCCAATGCGACTGTAGACCCTACAGCCCTGAAGCGAATAAATCCTGAACCTCCTAGGGGCTTTACTTGTTTCAGGGCTTCGGATTTGGAAAGACCAGACTTGGGGCTTTAGGCTATTGGTTTCGGGGAGTTATAGTGAACGCCCCATAAACTTGGAAAATTATTTTAAAATGCATTGAGGATGATTTGTGCTAGGATTCCCTATATGTTAAAATGGAGGACATGAGGATAACGATGTTCCAGCTGTCTGGGTTCTGCTCGAAGGTTCCTACACCCTAAGCCCTCAACCCTAAATCCTAGAGAACTCGAAGCCCAAACCCTCAGCCCTAAACCCTATGGTACCATTGTAAATCCCTCATAGGAACCCTCATCGTTCCTTGAAAGGGCCCTTAACCCCAAACCCGAACTGTCGCCCCTGAACCCTAAACCCCTATATAAACCCTAAACCCTTCGCCTCCACGGTGACCAGCAACCGTGCAGCTTCTGACCACCCCACACTTGCACGGGCCTTCCGCACCTGTCCGATGCATCATCATACGGTTTAAGGGTTTAGGGTCTACCTGGACCCTAAGGAACCTACCTTTTCAGGGTTCCCTAATATGATTTGTGTATATAAGTCCTTAAGACAGTAGGTTACTTGGGGTTAAGGTAGGGCTTCAGGGTTTAAGGGTTCAGGGTTTAGGGATTGATATGGGGTCTAAGGCTTTAGGCTTTAGGGGGCTTTAGTGTGTGGGGCCGGGCTTGGTGTAGGGGGCTTATGGGCTTAGGATTTTGGGATGATCGTCATAGTTCTTAGTCCAATAAGACTACTACTTCTGTCTCTATCATCATCATCATCATCATCATCACAATCATCGTCACGGTTGTTCTTGTAATGCCGACATGAACAGCCATGTTGTTGATGCTAGTACTACTCTTACTACTATCCTCACACTATCCGGAACTCTAAACCCCAAAGTATCCGGCTGCTTCAGTCAGTATTCACAGCTTTGTGATGGTTCTGGCTCTTGCCGGAGTGCATTGCTGTGTCTCCAGACATCCATGAGCGTAAAACTCGCGGTACCGAAATCAATGTCCACCAACCATGAACATTTGTCACAAGCTTTAGCATCCAACCGGTTCTCTTTACGAAATGTGTAGACCCCATAAACTCCAAACCGTTCAGGTGATCTCTGAACTTCTAAGCAAAGCCCGAACTCGACAACGGGATCTGACACGGGCCGCTCCAGGCCCAAAGCCCTCTCGAATCATACTACAACACCAACTAGAACGGCAGAAAGTTGGAATATGGACTTGGGATGATTAGTACTGATATTCCCTATACTTCACTCGGTTTAAGGGCATGAGGATAACGATGTTTCAATGTCCTGGCTTCTTAGGGCGCGGTCCTTGACAGTGTTCAGCTGTTCTTGTGTTTTTCGGGGGTCGCGATTCGAGGTTTGATGCCGCCAGCCCAAGCCACACCCGTTCCCAAAGACCTCCCCCCCAACGTGTCGACTTCGGAAGTTTAGGACGGCTCTGCCTCGGCACAAACCGTTTTCCAGTCCTCTTCGTCAACGACCATTCGGAACAGGACGCCCTGCGTTGCCAAAGGACTAAGGGTATGGGGCTACTATAGAACCACAGGAGTGTCAATATGCGGGGGGGGGGACTATCTGATGAACACAGGACACAAGCAACCCCAAACCCGAAACCCCCAAACCACTGCACAGCCTTCAATTCGATGTTCAGCGATGGCTCGCCCCGAAACCCTCAAACCCCACGATCTAAACCCTAATAGCTCGGACCATGGCTTGGTTTTTCGTTCAAAGGATGCATTGAATCTAAGGAAAAGCCAGAAAGTTGGAATATGATTATCCTAACCCTTCTATGGTAAATTATAGGGTATCCTACCATGAAACCATATTCCAACTTTCTGGAGTTCCCTGTAGGGGCCTCAACGCTTACAATTGGCTTTTGGGTCATGCTATACTAGAACTAGACTAAGGAACTCGCAAATAATATTGGAAATTTTTGAGGCCCCGGTATTAGGGCGCGAAGACTTGACTGAGCTGCTCATTCTAATGGAGTGGAATGTGCTCAAAAAACTGTACATCAACTTTCAAGCTCACCACCTTAACAGCAACCGAAACCACGTATGCTTTTGAATTCCGCTACATTGTTCCGCTTTCGACTCAATGTAGCACGGCTCAGCATTCATCACAGACAAACACGAATCACGATACCGAGTCCGGAGCAGACAAACTCCCAAAATCATGCAGGCCTGAACCTCGAAACCCAGTCTAAGGTATGTGGGGATTGACAAGGGCATGAGAGCCTAACATCCCTTGAATGTACTGAACTTAGACCGTAACATCAGGGCCCCCAATACGTTCAGACATTTTTGCTCAATTCCGCGGTACTGGGCTCTTCGGAAATTCCACAAAGCTCGTATCTGCGTCCTCTGCGTCCTACAGCCGAAATCCCACACGTGCGAGCTCAAGGAGAAAAGCCAACCCTGTCCTACGTCCTAACATCCAACATCTCTAAACCGCTAAGCCCTCAAAGGCCCTAAACCCCTAAACACTAAATCCCCAAATCCCCGCAAGCCCAGGAAATCTAGGCAGTTGTCTTCAATTTGCGATCCCCCAAATGCACCTACAACTCATAAGAACCCCTTACTTGTCCAGTATCCCCGGGGAACTCAAGGGCGACCTTTTGCATTATGGATAGGATTATATTTACCACGAAAAGGTTAAAGCGCGACGTGAGATAAGCTGCTTCCGCAGCCGAAGGCGCGAGACGAGCTTCGCGACTTTGCGAATTAGGCTCAGAGGTTGGTGGGAAGCAAACAGGCAACGGACCAGGTGTGATTCGGGACTATCGAGAATTCAAGCGGGTCTCAGACGTGAGATCCGAAGGAGGTTCGGTCGGCACAAAGGTTCAAGGTTGCCTGCCTTAACCTCGAGAAACCTACCTTTTTAAAGACTTATATGAAGAAATCATATTAAGGAACCCTAAAAAGATTGGTTCCTTAGGGTCCAGGTCATCTACGACAAAAACTCGAACCCCTCGCCCCGCCTGAAACTCAAAGCCTGCGATCGCACGCTGGACCATGCTGGTCTCCGCAGCTGCCAGAGCCTGGGTTCATGTTAACCCAAAGGCTCCATGTACCGTTATAGCAGATACTTAAGCCTTAAAGGGGTCCCTATATAGGTACTTTAAGCTATATTGGTACATGGAGCCTTAGGGTAAGGAAATGAATGCAAGCTACCACAATAGGGATCGACAGCCCAAAAATCCTGACTACACTCAACTCTAAATCCGAAACCCTATAAATGCAACCTAAACCGTGAACAATAGTTAGTCGCCCAGACCTCCCTTAATTAAGGAATATCCCTTAAGTTATAGTAGGTTCCTTCATATGATTTGAGGTATATTCCTTAGTTAAGGGATTTTGGAAGGTCTGGGAGCTTACAGAACATTCCTTAACAAGGCCCCAGGAGCCGGATGCGCTTCCTCCGCCTCCTGCTCACGGTACCTGGCCGCTGAAGGCCGCTGCAGGTAACCCCGAACACCGTTTTAGATGACGGAACCCTCACCACAGAGTTTTTGAACATATTAAAGCTATTTATATAGAGGGCAAATTCTAGCGTGAGTTTTGTGTTTTTTCGAACCATAAGGAATAGAATTTTGGGGCTATTGTTGAGCCCTCCGTTCTTTGGCTTCCGGAACCTGCTGCGGCTGATGCTCATGATGCTAGGATGGTATCTGCCGTGCTGATGATGCTGGTCTTGGCCGGCGCTTTGGTTGACAACAGCCACGGCTGATGCGCATGATGCTGGGCTTGTGCAGCGCTTGAGGTTGTAACAGCCATGGCTGCTGCTCGTGATGCTCGTTTTGTGCTGCGCTTGTTCTGGCACCTATGATGCTTCGCTTGAGCAGCACTGTAGGTGGTAACTGCCGCGGCTGATGCGCATGATGCTCACCTTGGCCGGAGCTTCGGTGGGTACTTGCAGCGACTGATGCTCACGATGCTCGAGTTGGGTGGCAGTTGAAGTGCTATTTGCTGCAGCTGATACTATACGCTGGGCTTAACCAGCGCTCAAGGTGCTAATTGCCACGGCCGAGGCTCATGATGGTCGCCTTGGTAGTCGCTTTGGTTGGTAACTGCCGCGTTGGTCTGGGGTCTGGCTTGTGCTATGCGCTTAGTAAAAGCCGTGGCTGATACTCATGATGCTCGCTTTGGCCTGCGCTTGGTTTGAACCTGCCGTGGCTGATGCTCATGACGCTCTGCAAGGGTGGGGTCTGCCGTGCTGATGCTCATGATGCTGGTCTTGGCCGGCGCTTGAGGTGGTAACAGCCATGGCTGATCATGGTGATCGATTTGGCTGGCGCTTGATGTGGTACCTGCCGCGGCTAATGCTGATAATGCTTCGTTTGCACAGCACTGTAGGTTTTAGATTGCCGCAACTATGCCCATGATGCTAGGCATAGCCAGTGCTCGAGGTGCTAGTTGCCTCCCGCAGGTTGAGGTTTGAGCTCGACACCTCTGATGTCAAAACCAACTCTAAAGAAACAATGACTTCAAGACTTCAAGAGCACCCCTCAGTTATACATTGCAGGCAGAGGGTCCTAATCTCTCAACTCCCTGCAGCTCCCCTTCTCCCAAACATGGCTTTGAAGTAGAAGCCAGAAACTTGGAACATGGCTTTAGGAGGATTAGTGCTAAGATCCCTTATACTTTACCTTAAGGGCATGGGGATAATGATGTTCCAACTTTCTGGCTTCGACTATAGCTAGTAGGACATGGCTGGATTTGCATGTCGGATCTGGCGGTGCAAGTAAGGACTCAGCACCGAGCCCAACATGCAACTCGAACCCCCGGAAATCCCCAATGCAGGAACCTGATTAAGAAACCCTGGGCCTATAACCCCTAAAATAGCAGGATTCATAGAAGGAACCTTAATAAAGGCCCAAGGTTTCTTAATCAGGTTCATACATCAAACCCCCAAAACCCCTTTAGTACCCTTATAGTACCCTTTGAAGGAACCCTTATAAGGCCCAAACCCGAGCTATGCCTCTGCAAAGCAGCAGCCAGACGCGGCCGCAGCGGTTCCACTGCCAGTGCCGCAGCGACTGCGCGTGTCATCCAGGAAAGCTCTTCCTGAGGGATCTATAGGGGTTCTAGACAGGTTCCTATAAAATGGGCCTATAAGGCTACTATCAGGGCTATGATAGGGATGTAGCATAGGGGCCTTAATCTGACTAATTCTTGGACCTCAAACCCTAACTTGTTCTGAATAAGGTCCCTAAACCTTGAGGCTTCGTTAAACTCTAAACCCTCAGGCTTCCTTCAACCCGAAGTCTCCCCTTAAACCATAAGCCTAAACCCTAAACCCTAAACCCAAACCCTAAACACTAAACCCTAAACCCTAAACCGTTCCCTTTTAACCCTCAGTCCTCTTAAACCCTGCTTAGAGGATCATGGGACTTAGTAACTAGGGTTCCTTAAAGGGCTCCTTAAAAGGGATCTAGAGGGTTCCTTAAAGGGATCTATAGGGTTTAGGGTCTACTAAGAGGATCATGGGACTTAGCAACTAAGGTTATAATTAAGGTAACCATACTTATAATTACCTATAACACCACTTAAGGTACTTATAACCATACTTACTAAGTCCCATGATCCTCCAAGTGAACCTTGATTAAACCCTGAGACTTGATTAAACTTCCCACTAAGGCTCTGTATCTTGCGGGATTATGAAAATTCTAATATGACGAATCTCACGATCAGCACAAACATTTCGCAGAACGCTGCATAGCATGAGAAAATACCGCCTACACGGGCTTCATATTTAGGAATTTGGAAAGTACAAGTAAACAAACATTTATACATTTAAAAACATGTGTGTATGTCATTGTATGTATGTACGTATATATGTAAGTATATATATATATATACACACCAACGCATATATACATACACAAACACAGATACAAATGTTCATAATTGGACAGTGAGAGAGAAAGAGAGAGAGAGAGAGAGAGACAGACAGAGAGAGAGAGAGAGAGAGAGAGAGAGAGAGAGAGAGAGAGACGGAGAGAGAGAGGGGGGAGCCTTCCGGGAATCCTTTCACTGACTAATCCTACACGGTGATGAAAAGCCTTGATTGAATGAGTACACGGTGATAGTCTTCGTGATTCTTCAGAACCCCACATAAGCCCCATGGAGCCCAGACTCGAAAACCTCCAAGCCCTGCTGTAACCTGCGAACCTCTCAACCCAAGAGCTCCAAACCTCTGAAACCCTGAACTCTGGACTCCAAATAGGCCGTAAGCCCAGGCGTGCCGAACAAAACAAAAAGGAAACAACGTATTAGAGACTGTGCAACCTGGAAAAACCTTGTAAAACTCTCGTAAAACGATGAGATTCTTCGCAATCAGAGCAAGAATCCTGTGATTCACTCTTAACCCAAAATCCTAAACCCTCAGCCCTAGGCCCTAATACAAAGACACGACTTCGAAGTCGACGACAAGGCTCCTGCAAGGCCAGCAGCTCCTGCAAAGCATAAACCGAAGAGTGCATCAGGGCTTGGGTCGTAGATTTCGGCGTCCATCTGGGGCTCATTCACACATACAACCACACATATGTGTACACACACATATATATATATATAGCATATATATATATATATATATATGTATGTACTTATTTATTTATAACTATATAATAAGTGTATGCAATTGTTACTCCCTTAGCTTGCAGCAAAAGTGCAACAAGGCTTTGGTGCTAACCTACTTCCTGCTAGTTTACTACGGTCCATATTCATATATATATATATATATATATTTATTTATTTATTTATTTTACATTGAACCCTGACTCACTGAATCCCTCAACCACTCACCCCTTAAACCTCTGAACCCTAGACCTTCCAACACCCCGACACCCCTTCACCCCTGAAGCCGAAGTTTGAGGGGGGGGGTTCCAGGCTTCGAAGAGACGACTAAAAAGGGCCCAGACCTTCCAAAATCCCTTAATTAAGGAATATACCTTAAATCATATTAAGGATCCTACTACAATTTAAGGGATATTCCTTAATTGAGGGGTTTTGGAAGGTCTGGGGGCTTTGGGTGCCAAATCTCTTGTCGGACCCGAAACTTCGGACTCTTAGACTTAGGGCAACCTCCTTCCCAGACCCCCGGGAGGATCCTAAAAGTAGATCCCTTAATGGGGGTTCCTATAAAGTACCCTTAGTAGTACAGGGCCCCAGATTAGGGGATCTACTTTCTAGATCCTCCCGGGGGTCTGGGTTAGGGATCCGCAATCAACCCGCCCGGCACCCTCGTTTCGGGTCCTGCGCGAATTGGCAAAACCTAAAGCCTAATATAGGGGCCTGAATCACAAGAATAGGGTTTGGGGGCCACTGTACCATATTTATAACAAGGAACCCTAAAAATTGTATGGGCAATTAGCAAGGCCCCTGCATTGAAACCTCAACCCTGTCCTGCAAAGCATGAACTCCTGCAGCCAGTATCGTCTGGCCCTCGGCAGACAGTCCCGAGGTGACCAGCACTTGATTCCTGGGCTATCGGGTTTGAGTCCCGTTTTGTCTTGGAATTCGGGTGCAATCTTTAAGTCAGGTTTAGGGATTAGGGTTTAGTGAAAATTGGAATAGTTCTTCCAAGGCTGGGTTCTACCAGGGTTTTGCGGGCCTTGCAGGGACGCTAATCTTGGAACATAGTCTTGGGCAGTAATACCGTCACAGGGGCCACAAAAGATACTGCTGTTGATTGATCAGACACTAGGATACTGCATGATGCTGAAAACTGAAAGCCCTATACCCCGTCGGAGTTTAGTTCCAGAGTCAGGGGGATTAGTATACCCCAAACCATAAGGTAAAAGCCAGACAATTGGAATATGATTATCCTAAACCCTTTATGATAAACTATAGGGTATCCTACCCTGAAACCATATTCCAACTTTCTGGAGTTCCCTATAGTATACCCCAAACCATAGACCGTAGGGTATCCCTGCAAGAGTTTGCAATCGCATCTTATTGATTCAGAGTTGGAGGTCCTTTCGCCTAGTTGCAACTACCCATGAACCAGCGAGCAGGGCTGATGGGAGGCCAAAAGGGGGTTTAAGATTCTTGGGGTAGGGATTCCTTAATATGAGCCCTAACGAACCCTAATCCCTACTAAACCCCCATAGGCTAAAACCCCGTTTAGAAGCTCGTTTGGAGTCCTATGAAGGGTGTGGGGGGGGGGGGGCCCTAAACCCTAAACCCTAAACCGGGGGGGCAGGGCACGTAAGTTTTCGGGCTGCGCTCAATTCAGGTTTGGCGTAGGAGAGAGCGGTCGACGTGGGGATCGGGGTTCGGGATTTGGTTTCAGGTTAGGGGTTTAGGGGTTTAGGGGTTAGGGGCTTAGGGGTTTAGGGTTTAGGGGCTTAGGGGTTTAGGGTTTAGGGGTTAGGGGCTTAGGGGTTTAGGGTTTAGGGGTTCAGGGTTTAGGGGTTAGGGGCTTAGGGGTTTAGGGTTTAGGGGCTTAGGGGTTTAGGGTTTAGGGGTTAGGGCTTGGGGGTTAGGGGTTAGGGGGTTGGGGGTTTAGGGTTTAGGGGCTTAGGGGTTTAGGGTTTAGGGGTTAGGGGCTTAGGGGTTTAGGGGTTTAGGGGTTAGGGGCTTAGGGGTTTAGGGTTTAGGGGCTTAGTTTAGGGGTTTAGGGGTTTAGGGGTTTAGGGGTTAGGGGCTTAGGGGTTTAGGGTTTAGGGGTTTAGGGTTTAGGGGTTAGGGGTTTAGGGGTTTAGGGGTTTAGGGCTTAGGGGTTTAGGGGTTTAGGGGTTTAGGGGTTTAGGGGCTTAGGGATTTAGGGGTTTAGGGGTTTAGGGGCTTAGGGGCTTAGGGGTTAGGGGCTTAGGGGTTTAGGGGTTTAGGGGCTTAGGGTTTAGGGTTTAGGGTTTCGGATTTGGCTTCAGCTTCTTTGCTCCGGCTGATATTCATGTGTTTACCCGGGGAACCCACACATAAACCCTTGGAGGTCCGACTGTCCCAAGAAACCCAAGAACCACAAGACAAGGACAAACACATGTGATTTATGGAAAGCTTTGCTTATGATGGGATTGCAAGCTTCAGTGTCAGGTCGTTCGACACCATCTTCTCCAAAATCTCCACAGCCTTCGGAAACGGCAAAAGAGTAACATTGCGCCTAAGCCCAAATGTGCAGAAAGCTCAGGCCGTCCCTTGATGTTGCAACAGCCTTAGCCCAAAAACGATAATTCGGTTGCAGTCTACACCCCCCCTCCAAAAACAATACATACATCCATCAGCAAGTACTTCTAGAGGACAACCAAGGCACCCAGCAAGTTTACAGAGTGCCACCAAGACAAGCCCTTAAGCTCGAACGCCCCGCCCAGCGTACATCCCTAAGCCACGTGCATGATGAGCAGTAGGGCTTAGGGTTTAGGGTCTGCATAAAAGGGTTCTTGATTTTTTTGTTCGTATTGGAGTCCCGTAGGTTCTGAACTCCTGTTGAGGCCGTGTGGTTTCGGATGATAGACGTGCGATGCAGCCCTGCATCGCAGTTACCAGCCCGCCTCACCCGCAATTTCACTCTATGCCAGGATCGTCAAACTTGGATTCATGGTAACCACAATCGCAACAGCAAAACCCATAATCAAGACCAAGATCATCAGAGGCCATGATTATCGAAACGAGCATGACTATTGACGACATTGGTTCTCTGATGCATGACAGGGTCATGCTAGAACTACAATATGTATTGAAGATCCCTGCGTAACATGTGGTTGGTACACAAACGAAAGGCATCTTCAGTATCAGTATCAAGAAGCCAAACCTCCCAAACACCTTGCTCTGTAATCCGGGACTTATACCCGAAATCATAAACTCCCAAACTGTAATCAGCGCATGTCAAACCTCCAAACCCGTTGAACTCGATTAGCAAACCTCGATATCCGATGATGTGGGAGCCTAATATACTAATAGCACAAGCTACGCCAAACCCTATTCTAATCATATATTATAGTACCCTTTTGGATCCCTCATAGTAGCTCTTTCTAGGATCCCTTGAAAGGAAACCCTATTCTACTTATTAAGGCCCCTATATTATAGTACCCTCAAAGATCCCTTATGAACCCCTCTAGAGAAAACCCTATTCTACTTGTTAAGGCCCCGTTCTCAAAACCCTGCAGAAATCCTCCAGCAATCTTGCCTTCCAGTCCTCCTTGACTTCAGGCCTCCGTTCTTCCTGGCTGCAAAGGGAGTAGATACAGGGTTTAGGGCTTACCTTAACCCTGAATAACCTACCTTTTAGGGTTCCTTATTATGAGTTCCTTATATCAGTCCTTAAGAAGGCAGGCTATTCCGGGTTAAGGCAGGGAATTGTGCATCTACTTAGGCCTTAAAGTACCCATTATATAGGAACTCCTTTAAGGCGCAAGTAGAAGTAGATAAGTACTCTCAGCCCTTGGGTTTAATGCCGCGACGTTGGATGTCATGGCAGGTTGATCTCCTGTAGTAAATCCCAAAGGGTCCAAGTACCATTGTAGGAGCTACTTAGTAGGCATTTGGGACCCCAAAGTATATCCTATACTTCGACTTGGACCCTTTGGGAATGGAACTGAGTTTTGGGCCATATTCTCCTACAGGGGAGTCCTGCAAGCTCCTCCAGTAAACCTCCTCACTAGCCAGTTTGTTAGTTCGAAGCCATAACTCCGCAAAAATGAAAAACCGAAGCCGAACCTCAAAATCCCAAAAATCCAGCCCCCAAAAGCCCAAATCGGAACTCTAAACCCCAAACCCTGGAGCGCAAGATGAGAGAGTCTAGATTGCTAATTACGGTTCCTTGAAGGGATCTATAGGGTTCCTTATAATGGGATCTATAGGGCCCCTTATAATGGGATCTATAGGGTTTAGGGTTTAGGGTGTACTTAGAGGATCGTGGGACTTAGTAACTAGGGTTATAACTAAGGTAGCTACACATATAATGACTTATAACCCCGCTTAGGGTACTTATAACCTTACTTACTAAGTCCCATGATCCTCCAAGTAGGGACCTGAACTCCCTAAACCCGAAGTGAAGCCCCTAACTGGGGCCCCAAAGAAGCACATAAGCAAAAATTAGGATAGGGATATCCCATATAAGCCCCCTTATAATTATAATGAAGCCCAATATGGTTGGGATATCCCTATAGGATGCTTATAACTTATGTGCTTTTTGGGGGTCCCTAACTAACCCCCACAGCCGAAGAAACGAAAGGCGGTCCCATGATCCTCTAAGTAAACCCTAAACCCTATAGATCCCTTTAAGGAGCCCTCTAGATCCCTTTTAAGGAGCCCTTTAAGGAACCCTAGGTACTAAGAGGCGGTCCTGGGCGGGGAGACTCCGAAGCTGAGCGGCCCAACTGCGCCAAAGCCCTTGCCACGGCCGCGCCTGGATGTCCGAAAGCCTTGGATGGTTCCTTAAAGGGCTCCTTAAAGAGATCTATAGGGTTCCTTAAAGGGATCTATAGGGTTCCTTATAATGGGATCTATAGGGTTTAGGGTTTAGGGTCTACTTGGAGGATCATGGGACTAAGTAAGGCTATAAGTACCCTAAGTTGGGTTCTAAGTAGCTATAAGTACAGTTACCTTCATTGTAACCCCAGTTACTAAGTCCCATGACCCGCTAAGTAACTTTATTCACGTGTGGTAGGATTATATAACGCCCAAAAGGCTAATTAAAGGTTATATGCACTCAGCTACCAAGTATATGAGTAATTCGGAGGTTCATGGGTAGTGGTAAGAAAAGGAAAACCACTTAGCTTAAGCCGGTTGACATCATAGCCCTAAACCATACCAAAACCTTAAGAACCCTGGCGGAAAGTCTTTTGGAAGCGTTTAAACGACCCCATCGGAACCTCAAAGGACACGAAACCCCAGCAACCCAACTTGCTGAGCCACCCGTCGATCTTCCTCAATCTATTCAGGCTTAGAGTTTAGGATTGTCGGGTTCAGGGTTTAGGGCCGTGTGTTCAAGCTTCTGGATCATGTGGCTTTGGAGTTCAAACGGGCTTTTTATAACGTCTTCCATGGGGCTGAATTCGGGGCCTATAGTGATTAGACTAGGGTCTGGGCCCTATGCTGGCTTTGATATAATATATGAGGACTGAGAGGCCATAGAATGGACAAACTCAGGTTTTTATGCTGCTTGAACCTCTAGATCCTCCCCCCACAACAGCAACAAAGCCAAAACACAATAAACCCAACAATCGGAAAGGGTCTTAGCTGCTGCTACGAGTTATGTGGATGCTTCCCCAAATCATAATAGTAATTCCTGTTATAGAAATCGTTCATACTACGGTATAGGTATACAAAGCCCTTTGGGCCTGAACCCAAAGCCCAATAAACCCAACAAGCTCTGTACCCACGCTGGGTCCAAGGCGCCGATGCAGCACCTCTTCTACGGGCCTGTGCTGGAGCTCTGCATAGGCATCCTTCCAAGCCTTCGACCGGGTTTCCGGTTCAGGGTCTAGGGTTTAGAAGTCCTAAAAGCCATTAAAGCGGCAACACCTAAACCCAAAGTACCTGATACAACAATAAGTGGAGCCCGGAAAGCCCTAAAACCTTCACATCTTAAACCAACAACAATCCCAAGCGATGCTCCAGGAGAGAGGGCTGTTGGAAGGGGGGGGGGGGGGGGGGGGGGGGGTTAGGGTTTAGGGTTTAGGGGTTTAAGGCTTAGGTCTATAATCTAGAAGGTTTAGGAGAGTTGCTTTAATTTAGGGCTTGGGGGTTGGGATTTGGGGCTTATAAACCCTAAGTCCCCAACCCCCTAAACACAAAACCCCCAACAAAACCGGGTTGAAGCAAACTTGCCATGTGCTCCGAGCATCGAGGCAATCTTCTTGACACTCCAGAGGAGAGCTGGACTGTCGCCAGATGGCTCCTCCCAAGGTTTCCGCGTCGCGTTTTAGGGTGTACATTAGAAGGGGCCCCCACCCTGTAATAGTGACTATAAGGATTATATTAGGGCCCTATTATATTCCTATTATACCACTATTACAGGGTGGGGGCCCCTTCTAAGGTGTACAGGGTTTAAAGACGGTTCCTCACCAGATGTTCGGGGTTTAGGGCAACGAAAGCGTTCTGAGAGGGTGTCGGGGTGTTGATGGTTGGAAGTGAAGCTAGGATTTAGGACAAGCTTTAAAATAGTCATGACATCCATGAGCCAGAAACACATCCAAAACCCTGAGCCCCGAACCCGAATGGCCCAAAGCCCTAAACCTGCAAACGGCCTCAAAATCAAAAAACAAAAAACAACAGGGAGCGGTTCAAAACTCTGCAAGTGCCGTTTAAAACCTGAACAATGACAACCGTATAACCACCCAACAAAACTGCTGGAAGACCTTGAAAACAAGTCCCTTTAAGCTCAGGAGCCTAATTAAAGTAATAGATACAGTGTCCCCTGTCGTCTGTATTCTGTATGTAGTATAATACCCTGCACTCAACCCTCGGCGCAGCCATCATAGCAACCCTTGTAGAACGGATATAGAAACATTATGTAGGCCCCTGGTTAATCCTTCAAAACACTATAGATCCCGAAGAAAACCCCAAGGAACCCCGCCACCAGAAACCTGCTCTCAATATTGTTAAAGTAGAACCCAGAAAGTTGGAACATGATTATCCCCATGCCCTTAAGGTAAAGTATAAGGGATCCTAGCACTCATCCTCCTAAAGCCATGTTCCAAGTTTCTGGCTTCTAAACCCTAAACCCTAAACCCTAACCCTTGCCCTATAATAGAGCAAGGGAGGCTCGGATGGGTCCTGTCTGCTCCCTCGTTTTCTCGCTCTCCTCCATGATCGTGCGGATCGATCCAAGGGTGCTTTGCCTGGATCTTAGAATCTCACACCAGGTCAGAGCATATTGTATCATGTATCGTATCATATCACGCCACATCACTCTCTATTAAGTGCTACCGAAGCTCAAAATCAACCTGAGTTATGGTCGGGCTGCAGGGTTCGTTTTAAGAAGGAACTTAACTGTGTAAGGTCCATCTGAGCCGCCAAGGACGACATGGCGAGGCGGCCACGGAGACTAGATGTACCTTCCCAGAGACTTCAGTCAAAGGTTGTTCCGGTTTGGTTTGGGTTGGGGGTGTGGGTTAGCGTTGGGGTTTGGGTTGGGCAAGCCGATTATTGTTCAAGGAGTATGGCTTTCGCATCAGCCTGAGGCGAGGGTATAGTCAGCTCTCGAAGAAGAACACTGGATACCACCACTCGCCTCTTAGTGGCGATGCGGACTGGATAACTGAGGCACGACATGATCGTATCAGACCGCATGATGGCTTTTGGGCGTAGAAGTTACAGGCTTCTCTTTTGGGCAAGCTCCCAGATGAGAGGGCAGCTTCACAAATTTCAAGCAGCTCCGCACACACCCATGTAAAACCCTGACAAAGCGACCGGCCCCGATGTTCAGAAGCCCATGTATGTGTATATATATATATATATATATACGGACTCCACAAGGCAACTTCGACTCTCGAACCAGCTCTGCAGTGTAGGATACAGGGCCTTCAGGGGATACGTTTTCTCCCGTTTTCGGTTTCGGGGGAAGGGTTTTGACAATCGGGTTTAGGGTTTTGGGATCTTGCGTTAGTGATAGGCTTTTGCTGTTGCTTCGAAATGGCGGCTTGCTAGGCATTTGTGGGGGGTCGGAACGGTCTTATATTGATCCGATCTGAGTGATTTTGGGTAGTAGCCCGATTGAGCAACCCAGTTCTCGTTCTGGCCATGAATCCTGTTCTCTTCCTGCACGTCGTAATTGGGGCTCATCGGCTGCATAACCCCTGGTTTAGGGTTTAGGGTTGAGGGTAGAACCGCTGATGTCGAAATCCTGAATCGAAGACTGTTCAGGGTTAAGGGCTTAACCCACCGATATCCAAGGCGCAAAGGATGTGCTGAGCCCACCTTCACCTGGCAAAACTGCAAGTCTTATAGTGAACCCCAGAAAGTTGGAACATGGATTTAGGATGATTCGTGCTGGGATTCCCTCTACTTTACCTTAGGGCCATGAGGATACTAATGTTCCAACTTTCTGGCTTCTACTATATGCCTGCCGTTTCGAGGATGTGCTGCAAGATTTAAGGCCGAAGAGCTTTCCGGAGGTGGCGCTTCCTTCTGGCGGTTCTTCTCAGGAAACTTGCATATGCATATGTGGGTGGTTGTCAAAGTTGTGGTCCGTTTTGGGGTCCTTAAGATAATACGGCTCCTAATATTTAGGGCCCAAAAAGGGGCTATAATTTGATAACCATCCATCTGTGTATGTGATATACAATATGAAACTGAAATCAAGCTCCTTCAGAAGATGCCCCGAAAAAGCCAAAACCATCATAGCTGCATGATATCAAGAAAACCCTCCAAGGCTTCTTTTTCTGAATAAACCCTTACTTGGAGGATCATGGGACTTAGGAAGTCGGGTTGTGCGTACCCTAAGTGGGGTTATAAGTAAATATAAGTATGTGAAAATAAGTATAGTTACCTTAATTATAGCCCTAGTTACTAAGTCCCATGGTCCTTTAAGTAAACCCTTAAGGATCCTAGAACCCGAAGGATACAGGATCCTAAACTCTAAAGGACCTCACACCCTAAAGGATCCTACACCCTACAAGATCCCAAAGCCTAACCCTGAGGCTCGCGGGAGGCTCTTGGGCCCAAACAGGTGTTTGGGGCTATTATGAGCTTTAGGGTGAGGTATCCTCGTCCTAGACGTCCTAGACCCTGACCGCTTCGGTGTTTACGTCGAAGGTTAGGATCACAAGGGTCGAAGGCCCCACGCCTTCAAGCACCCGTCTAAGTATAACTGCAAAAGCGGATCCTTACAAAAGGCACCTCGTTTCGATTTGGGGCTGTAAATCCTAGCCTGAAATACAATATCTTCTTGAACTCAGAACAACAAGCCACGTGTTTTTGGTCTGCGGCCCGCACCTTTGGACTCCGCCGTCTTGTCACTCTGAAGCTTGGAGAAGGGCGGGCAGATCTTGGACACAGCCGGCGGCACTGCATTTGCTTGGGTACATCCCATGGCAACCTTGACTTTGAGGTCGCTAAGAATTAAAAGCCGGGTGGGGGGGGGGCGTGGCATGGACTGGGGCTTGATGGGCTTTGGGGGTGCTGTTATAGTAAAGTGGTCGCAGGAGCCCTAGGGAATAATATTGGAAACTGTTCAGCCTTCCATATGGTTTGGGGCTTAGGGTTTGGGGTTTAGGCTTAGGGTTGAAGGCTTCCATCTGGGTTCGGTCCATGGCCTGAAACCGGAAAATTCTGCTACGGTGCTCTGAGCAGCAAAGGGTTGCGACAGAAAAAGCTCACACAAATCCAGTTACATACAGGGTAAGCTGTTGTGTCGTACACCCCTAAGGGTCCATGTACCCAAATAGTACATACTTCGCCCTTCAAGCAGTCCTTATATAGGTACTTTGGCGCCAAAGTAGATACTACTATTTGGGATCATGGACCCTTACGGTAATCCTAAGCCTCCTAAGCCGTTCTACGAACCCGACAGTAAGCCATAAAGCAGTAGGCCAACAGTGGCCTAACATGCAGGTAGCCGGATCCAAACCGTTCCGCCAGATAGACTACGTACAGGGGCCTGTAAATTATGATCAGACTATTTTCTTTAGGGTATATCATGCTATAATCATACAAGACCATATAGGGATGCTGCATGACGACACTACAGTACTCCCGGGAAGCCTGCTCAAACCGCGAGTTCACACTCATTTAGTCCAGATCTCGCTCCAAGCCTCTGGACCTGAAGCCCTATAGCGTCTAAACCCTGCACTATAGGTGTCGATTTCAACAGTCCCCGAAACTATTTACAAGCAGGGCTCTATACTAAACAGCACGCGAAAATAAACATTATCCCAAAACGATACCTGGTCCAGGAGAGTTGGGGGTGATTGGGTCTGGGCCAGTTTAGGCTTTCCGGGTTTAGGGTGTAGGACTTAGGACTTGGGGAGGGTGTCCCGTCAATGCCGACTCCCTCAGTGGAAAGTTCAAAGGATCTTTATATAACCATCCCCAGACAGCCCAATGGTATGGTTCCAAACCCTAACCCCTAAACCCTTAAACCCTGAAACCCTCAGACCCTAAACGTTTATCAAACCGGAAGGGTACAGTTCCAGGGTTGAGAGCTGGGAGGTGGCAGGTAAGGGCCTGCTAGAACGGCATTCCCTGGTTTCACCGTCCTGAATCGGAGTCGAGATCAACACTCCCCAAGAATTAGCTATAATTAGGGCGCTATAAGGGCTCTATACTAAACAATAAAGGAGCCCAAACATTATCCCAAATCGATGCCTAGAATCCTGAACCCCGTGCCCTACACTCTAAACTCTAGACCCTCAGCCCTCTGCAACATACGAAGGTTTAAAGGTATCTGACAGCCGAAAACAACGTAAAGGTTCGGAGGACTTTACTAAGTGGGGTTACAGGCGGTAAATTTGCGATTGTGTGTGGACTGTATAGGGGTAACTATACTTACCTGACTTCGAACCCACCAGCCAACCGCACCTTGAGGATTCAAGCCCAAGACTGGAATTCGAATCACGGAGCACGTTAGAACAGAAAGCTTTGGTCGACAAGGGCTTCACGGTTTAGGGCTTGATGCTTGTTGGGTGTTAGATTAGGGCTCACGTCGGCGTGCCAACATTGCTGTTTTCAAAGGGTTGCGCTGGGACTGCTCACAACCTTTGGCAAGGAAGACACCAGATTGCTGTACGCAACAACCAGAAACACATGCTGTTTATTTATACCGGTGCCGTCATGATTAGAAGAGAGTTTTGGGGGTGAGCAGAATTAGTAGGAAGCATAGGTATTCTCCTCATTTCTGCTCCTCAGTGCCCTTTCTCCTATAAGAATCTTTTGAATGAGGGTTTATGCAATCGGGTTGAGGCCGTTCTGATGTTTTTGGAACCTGAGTGGTGATCAAGGGTTTGCATGCCTTTACTTGTGTTGCACGCTAGGGCTTAGCGGGGCCTCAACAGTGGTATCCTTGAGGGTTTGGTGTTGGGCTTAGGGTCTAAAGGTTCCTCCCTTCTTTCCCCTGAGGGCCCATGTAGAGAAACAATAAAACTTAGTATAAACTTCGACCAGTAAGTACATAGGGACTACACTTTCAAGCCAAAATATGTACTATACGGGCACATGGACTCTTAGAGATTGCAAGCACGGACAAGACCCAGTCATCACCAGTGCCAAACCCTGCGCACCTTTTCGATTCAGGGCAGCGGTCTCGCAAGGGAAACTTTGCCCTTGCTGTCTGGAGACTGGACCCAAGAGTAGCCTAGGAATAAAAAGGGTGCCCTTTCTGGTTCAAAGGGGCTTATAATAGGGAACCTGAACCCCAAAAAAAGGGAATAAGGGCCTACTCTAGGCCCTAGGAGAGACATTCGGTTTAGGGTTTTGGGCCTCTAGGGTTGGTACACCCACACGCAGCATCAGGTGACGGGTTATTACAGGACTTGGGGTTGTCTCGCACCCAAACCTCAAGCACCAATCCAAATCCTGGCAGCCCCTACCCCTTGAACCCTCACTCCAAAATCCCACGAGCCCCAATTCGGGGTACCTTATTTCGGGATCCTCATATAAGGATGCTACTATTTAAGGTACCCTACTAGGGTCCCCCAATTCTTGGAAACTCCCATATCATAGGGACGCTTACCGGGGGTAGGGGGAGGGCGGGTAGGGGGCCTTAGTGCCCACAGCAAGGACGTACTAAGGTTTATTGAAGGAAGTATAGCCCCCTACCCCGCTCCCCCTTACACCCCTATTTAAGGGTCCCTATGATCATATATCATATATTTGCTGTAGCAGTGGGGAGAATCATCAAACACCGTTACCTCATGGCCCCTTTAAACACTTCGCGGACGGTATAGAGCCACCAAAACAAAATCCGAGAATACCCTTCCGGAAGGTCATCGTAATCCATAAACTTAGCCCTACAAACCCTATACCTTAAGTCTAACCCTAACCCCTACCTTAACCCCGAACAACCTACCTTCTCAAGGACATATATAAAGAAATCATGTTAAGGAACCCTAAAAACACTCCGTTTCTTAGGATCCAGGTAACGCTACACTCCAAACTCTCAATCCTAAACGCTAAACTCTAAACCCTAAACTCTAAACACCAACCGGCACCGAGGTTCCTATCGCGAGCCCGATCCCTCAAAGTCGCTGTCCGCCACGACACTCCTTGGGCTGCAGGGTATTGATTTGGGAGTTTCCGAAAATTAGGGGTTACCTTATTTTGGGGTCCCTTGTAATAAGGATCCTACTATTTGGGGTTCTATATTAGGGTCCCCGATTTTCGGAAACTCCCGTTTAAAGGATTAGGGAACTTAGTAAGTTGGGTTTAGGGATCTAAATGACTAAAGGATTAGGGTTTAGGGTGAACCAGTTGAGTCGTCGTACGTTTCGGCATACCTTGTCATAGGCTCCGTTGACTATGTCGCCGGATCCTTGAAGAAATACATGCCCCACGTCTCAACCTGCCGAAATAACTGGCTCCGCATTCGGTTGCCGGAGCCCTTTGAAGCTCTACTAGGGGTGTAGGGTTTATGGTTCCAAATAAGTTAAAAACCATTGATTGATTAAGGCTAAACGAAAGCTTACCAACAAAAAACGAAGGCCTGTATACACCCAAAAGCCCCGAAGCCACTCTGGCAAACACCACCGAACGGACTCCACACCTCAGTCGTTACAATCCCTACTAAGCTTCCCATAATTTGCAGACTTTGACTTTGAAGGTGTTCCTATATAGGCACTCTTACTGCCAAAGCATATACTCGATGGGAGTTTCCGAAAAGAGGGCACCCTAAAATTATACCCTGAATAGTAGGATCCTGATTGAAAGGACCCCCAAAATAGGTCCCCCCAACAATTCCGGAAACTCCCAGAATGGGCCCCGTCAACCTCAAATCTTCGCAGCATCCAAGATGCCCTTCATCCCCGCCAAGGTCGGTCTTGACAGGGCCCTGCTTCAATTAGGGATTCTATAGTGAACCCCAGAAAGTTGGAACATGGATCTAGGATGATTCATGCTGGGATTCCCTGTACTTTGCTTTAAGGGCATGAGGATACTGATGTTCCAACTTTCTGGCTTCTAGTGTAAGATAGGGTATTCCAGGATCCCCCCCCCCAAGGGCCATTCAATAGAGCCCTTATTATGTTCCTCAACAATGGGTCTTTGGGAATATACTAGAGGGTAGTTTGGGGGGGGGGGGGGGGGTCTAGGCAGGGTTTAGGGCCTGGGGGGTTGAGGGTTTACAGTCTGGGCTGATTCTTGGAGGAACCTCTATACCGGTTCGCAAGATGGTTCTTGAAGGGTTCTTGCATGAGGTTTAGGGTTTAGGTGCTATAGAAGAACCTGATAAAGGCTCTAAAGCGGCCCTTGACAAGTGTTCGCTCAGATGGTCATATCTGGATTTGTGCGGGTTTGGGGTTTAAAGCTCTTGGCTCTAAAGTTCCTGGTTTCCCAAAACTTAAACTTAAAGCCAATGCTCTAAGGCCCTAGCCGTAAACTCTAAGTTCCTGAGTTTCGGTTTTTGGTTTAGGGTTTAGGGTTACCCTAAATCCAAACGCCTTCAGCTCTACACCCTGCCAAGACCACCCGACATACCCGTACTAGAGCCTCCTCGTAATCAGTCGTAGGTATTTTCGGACATAGTATCCAGGGCTGGTTGGAGTCTACTGGTGTAGAAACGCCATCAATTCCGAATTCCGTCACACTTTGAACCGGAAACCAGGAAGCCCTAAAACTACACCATGAACAATTCCTGAACCATAGAGCCAAAACTCTAGATGAAGGCTACTCGAACTGAGAGGCTGCGACAGCTGCAAGACTCCAAAACACCCAATTGAAGCCAAACACCATGAAGCCAATTTTCGATCTCCCACTCATGAGGCATTACCTAGTCTCTCCATTTACCCTTTACTAGACCCCAAATACCCAGTATGTCGGACCATACACCCTTTTTGACGGTACAAGGAAGGTCCTGGTAATTAAGGACCCACACGTTAGGGA